CAGTTTTTGGGCCTTAACTGCGGAGAAAACTAATTCAACGGGAGCTAGACTACGGGCTAGGCACGTGGTTTAAGTGAACTCTGCGTTTGTTCACTTAGTCGTTTCCTTGTGTGCAGACCGCTTGCTAGTTCACAAGTGAATTTGGCAAGAGTTTCACTAGGAAAACATGACAACAATGAGTAAAAATATTGGCAACCATGACTACGTCAGAGCTAGCAAGCAGTGCTGGTCGACCTCCAGCGCAGCACGGTCGACCGCGATCCAGCGTTGCAGAGCTCGCACCGCTCCAGCGCTGCAGAGTAGCAGCTTGCCAACGTTGCAAGTCCGTGCTGTGCCAACGCTGCACCAAGTCGGCCGCACAACGTTGCACCCGCAGGACAACGTTGCACCTGCTTCGCAGGTGCGTGCGACTGGTTGGTGCACCACTCTTCGTCACGTGCACAGCGCAGACGCCTGGCAGAATCTACGCTAGCGACTGCTCCCACCACCCACGTCGACCTCGGGATACCACCCCCGAGGTCGACCTTGCAGAAGCCACCCCGGCGAACTTCGCACACGTCGCCTGGGTATCCCCTCCCGGTCGACTGGGCAACCATGCCTGGTCGCCCAGCCCTGTCGGTCGCCAGTTTGCTCAAGCCCGGCGTCCCCAGAGGTAGTGTCCTAGCACCAGGTCGGCGCCTGGACGCCTAGCTTGGCGTCCAGATGCCCAGGACGCTGTGCAGACTCCCAGGTCGGCGTCCAGGCACCCATGACGCCGTGCAGACGCCCAGGTCGGCGTCCAGGCGCCCAGGACGCCGTGCAGACGCCCAGGTCGGCGTCCAGGCGCCCAGGACGCCGTCCAGACGCCCAGGACGGCGCCCTCCTGCTCGGCGATCTCCAGCCAGGCGTCCTCACTGCAACTGATTGGCTGTGCTCCCCGCACACCCGGCTGCGAAGTCGGCTCCGCCCAAGCGAGGACGGGGCCAAACACAACTCCCGCTGACACTCCCCTGCCGCGTTCACGCTTGGGCCCCCCAACCCACACGGCAGCACCGCTCGGAGAAAAGCTCGGCGGCGTGCACACAACACACAGCACGCCGGTTACTGCACCAGCCATGCAAGCGGGCATGGCACCTACTGCTGCACGTCATTGTCGCCGTCGCCCACGTTGGCCAGGCGCACTTGGCCAATTGCGACGGAGCACCGGTTGAAGGCCGGATAGTGCAGCGCCTTCGTCACAAAGTCGGCCGGCTGCTCGGTGGTTGAGATGTACTTCAGCGTGAATTTCCCGCGCTTCACCATGTGCTGCAGCCAGGCCTGTCGCCGCTCCATGTGCTTGAGGTTGCCCATCAACCCCATGCCCTCGGCGACCGTAATGGCCGACTTGTTGTCCAACCGAAGGACAGTCAGCTTCCCGGCGTCCAGCTGCCGGAATTCTGCTAGGAGGAAACAAAGCCGGCGTCCCTCCTTGCCAGCTTCAGTGGCCGCCACGTGCTCCAGACGCTCATGAATACAGTACACTCCAAGTTCCTAGGTTCGTTCGTCGTCGTTTACCTAGATAACATCTTAGTCTTTTCCAAGACAAAAGAGGAGCACGTGCAGCACTTGCAGAGGGTCTTCAAGGTTTTGAGGAGGGAGCAGTTGTACGCGAAGCAGTCGAAATGCGAGTTCTTCCTCCCCGAGGTCGAGTTTCTAGGTTACGTCGTTTCCGCTAGTGGCATTAAGACCGACCTGAAGAAGATCGCAGCAGTACAGGATTGGATAGCATCGACCTCAGTCCAGGAACTGCAGAGCTTCCTCGGATTAGCCAATTATTACCGCCGTTTTGTTCAGGGTTATGCATCGATCGCTAGTCCACTCACCTACCTACTTCGGCAGGGCGTAGAGTACGTTTGGGGTCCAGCACAGCAGCAGGCGTTCGAGCAGATGAAGCAATCGCTCACGTCTTCACCGACACTGTCGTACCCTGATCCAACTCGCCCGTACGTTGTCGTGACCGACGCTTCATATCAGGCCATAGGAGCAATGCTTCTTCAGGACCAAGGACGCGGGTTGCAGCCGATCGCATATGAGTCGCGTAAGCTGAGGGGAGCAGAGTTGAACTATCCGATCCACGACAAGGAGGTGCTCGCGATCATCTATGCGTATAAGGTGTGGTGGTGCTACCTGAAGGGGGCAGATGGTGTTATACGCACAGACTATTGTTCTCTTTGCTTTCTCAAGTCGCAGCCGCAGCTGAGTCGTCGCCAGGCTCAATGGATGGAGTTCATGGAGGGGAGCTTCCATTACAAGATAGAGTACAAGCCAGGCGTGCGCAACCCAGCAGATCCGCTCACTCGCCCTAGTTGCCAGCTCGCTAGCCTCACAGTCACTGCCGGCCATCCACTTCTCACAGCACTCTTCGAGTACGGATACACAGTAGATCCCGATTTCACACCACAGCCGCCCGCAGCAGCAGAGGTGCAGGGTAGTGTCTACATACGGAAGGGTACCACACGGATTTGGGTTCCAGCCTATCGCCCTCTACAACAGCTCCTTCTTTTTGAGGCACACGACGTAGTTAGTGCAGGTCATTTCGGAGCAGATAAGACGGTTACGACACTTAGTTGCACGTACTTCTGGCCAGGGCTTGCAGTAGACGTAGAGGATTACATTCGCTCGTGCGACACGTGTCAGCATATGAAGTGTTCTCGCCAGCGCAAAGCAGGAGTTTTGCAGCCGATTCCACCGCCCGACCGCCTTGGCAGATAGTTACGATAAACTTTATTATGGCATTACCGCGCACAGTTAAGGGTCATGACGCCATCTTCGTTGTAGTCGACAAGTTTTCTCGAGCAGCACATTTCATTCCCATGCACGGCAAGGTCTCAGCAGAGGAAGTCGCGATGTTGTTTGGCGATAACGTAGTCCGATTACACAGGGTTCCAGATTCCATCATCTCAGACCGCGACCTTCGTTTCACATCGAAGTTGTCTTTTCGCACTGTTTGGGCCTGGCTTAGCCATGTCGTTTGCGTACCACGCAGAGAGAGACAGACTGACTGAGCGTGTGAACCAGACATTGGAGCAGATCCTTCGCAGCATCACGATGCATGACACAACCGCATGGGACAAGAAGCTGAGCATGGCAGAGTTCGCCTACAACAACACGCACCACTCCGCCACAGGCATGTCACCGTTCTTTGCACTGTACGGTCAGCACCCCAATGTCCCCACTCGTGTCGATCTCAAACTCACTGTCCCTTATGCGGACAACTTTCATCAGCATCTCACCTTCATCCATGATCACGTGAGGAAGGACATTGAGCTCGCAAATGCACGCATAGCACGCACCACCAACCGCAGTCGTCGTGAGGTGTCATTCGCAGTCGGCGACCGTGTTCTTTTGGATAGCCGCAACCTCCGACTGCCGCAGGACAGCAAGCTTCGCCCACGCTTCATTGGTCCATTCGTCATTGAGCGCGCACTTGGTCCAGTCGCATACCGCCTCCGCATGCACCCGTCATTCCACATGTCTCTCCTTCGTCCTTACACCGATCCCAACGCCACCTTCTCGGGCCGTGATCGCACTCCACTGCCGGCACCAACGAGCCCGACTACCAGATCCAGTGCATCCTCAGGCACCGTCGCCGTCTCCAGGGAGGTGTCTCCTTCATTGACTTCTTGGTTCGTTGGCGTGGTTACGATGCAGCCGACGACAGCTGGGTTCCTTCGTCATCGCTGTCTCCCGACAACGCTTGCCTCCAAGCGTACCTTCAGTCTGCAGGCGCCGCGGACGTCGCCTCCTTGGGAGGGGGGTAGTGTTACGGGGTACTTTCCTGTCAAGGGTACTTTACTCTAAACAGTGCCCCCAACCCAATCTCAACCTTATCTTCATCCAATCCCTTAGGGATTTCCCGGATTCCCTTGTGCCACGTGGCACTCTACTCTTCTAGCTTTCCAATTCCTAGTCCCACAAACTACTTTCCAACACTCTCTCTTGTTCGCTATATGAACCTCTCTTGTACTTGCCTATATCAATTCATTCTCATTCCACAATTACGCAGTTACTTCTTTGCCTATTTCGCTAAGACTTCCTTCGCCAAAGTCTTCCGCCGCGCTTTATCCTCACTTTAGTCCACCCCGCTATTCCTTAGCGGATTTAGGCCAAGGGGCCTAACACATTTGGTTTCACATTTCGTGGAAATGACGTGAACAGTGATTTCTTTCAAAATTCATGGGGGGAATCACTGTTCACACCAGTTTACCAAAAAGTCATACGCAACCCCAAAATTGTGTTATTTGGCGAGACGAACGCGTGGGACCCACCTTAACCACCCCCTAGGAACGAAGAGGAGGGGGGGGGCTAATGCACCATGCGAACGAAGAGGAGGGGGTTACGTGGGCCTGCGAAGTGAGGTGAGATTTTGCTGCTGGGTGTGTTGTGCGAACCGGGCCGGTGTACCTCAAACGCAACTGTCCCTCAAACCGCAGAGTGCATGTCTCTGTTGCCCAAAAGGAAACCCAGATGAAACAAGCCGGGTATCAACTTCATTGCTTTGCTCGCGTGGAACCAGCGAAAAATATAACCCATATAGGAAAGGCATGCGTTAGGAATGCATCAACCCTAAACACCTAGAGGCAAGGTGTTTAGGGTTGATGCCTCGCTAACGCATGCCAGGTCCGAATGGGTTTTATTTTTGCCCTCGGGTAGCACAGTACATGTGACCCACTAAACTTAATTAAATATCGCTTTAACTTTGTGGGAACAATAAAACAGATCGCGGTTCCCGCGATCCAAGGGAGGCCACATGGTGATAAAAAAACGAACCGCGATTCAGCGCAATTGAGCAAAACTCTCAGATCCGGAACACAACAAGCAGGAAAGTCATCCATACCCCGCACCTTTACAGCTATACAGCCTTCCATCGAGACAGCTCGTACTGACTTAGATTGCCGTTACCGCTTGTAGCAATTCCTCGTAGACTGGGGTAAGCGGGAATGGCCGACAACGCAGCACCAGAAGTGGTGCTCGAAACGACAATGGGGCAAATAACAGTCGAGGTAGGTTTGAGACTGAGCGTACAGTACTTACCCATGAGGGTGGCACAGCATCAAAGAGTACGTGTTTGTCGGTCACAGCAGATATTTCGTCACGTATTGGCCGCCGGTATTGAGCTTGCTATCGTTTAACGTCGCGCCACTTGTTAGGGGATCCAAACTTCGTATTCTGCTTTAGTATATTTTCCCTAAATCATGTGATTTATCGGCAATAATGCGTCTGAATATTTCCTCGTTCCGTTCCCTTTCCGTATCATTTTGCGAAGCACTGTGCAGCTGTACCACAAGCACGCCCCGAAGACGTGCAGAAACTTCTTGGAACTCTCACGGAGAGGGTACTACAATGGCACCAAGTTCCACCGAGTGATTAAGGTGAGGCGGCAAAGCGAGTGACATGGTGAGCTGGTGAACTCAGTGATCAATTTGAGCTGCCAAATTGAGTGATCAAGTCCATCTGGTGGCATTTCGGCTGGTGATTTCAATTATTTTAGGGGCCCAGATTAGCCTTGGACCCTTAGCAAGTCCTTGGTGGCAATTTTAAGTTTCCTTAGCTTTCCAATCACCAATACTGCTGCTTCAGCAAAAGCTGAGTTTTCCCATTCACCCCTGTCACTGCTACATTGTGCATTGACAGGATTTTATGGCTCAAGGCGGTGTTCCCACAGGGACTGGACGAGGAGGCGAGTCTATCTATGGGTGAGTGATTATCATAAGTGTTTGGATCTCAGGGACTCAGATCAGGGTTCTGTCACTGCGTTTGAGTTCGTATTGCTGCAGTTTCAAACTTCATAGTACTGCACGTCCCAATCGTTCTCAGCAGCTTCACCCTCTCAGTTCTCGTTTGTACGCTGCCCTTCTTCCCCTCATGCTCCCTCGTTTAAAGCTTCCTTCCTTCTGTCTGTAGCCTCCACCTCACTCTCCTCTGTTCCCCCCATCATCACTATCCCCTCTCCGTTCCTGTGCCACATTTGAAGGTGATATCGCTCACTCCGATCCTCTCTTCTTCCCCTGAACCCTCCCTCTTCCGCCTCCCCTTTCTGTTATCCGATGGCTCAGAGCCAAGTTTGAGGACGAGATAACGCGCGAGCTGAAGCACACGGGTGCGGGCGTGCTCTCCATGGCCAATGCCGGGCCCAACACCAACGGCAGCCAGTTCTTCCTCACGCTCGCCCCCACTCCCTGGCTCGACGGTGCGTTGATTGATTTCCCTCTCCCATACTCCGTGGCCTGATGGTGCATCCTGTGATCACCTCCGCCGCACTCCCGAACTGCCTCAACAAATATCGATTCAACATTCAATGCCTCAAACGCACTGCACAAAAATACCGATTTGGGAGGTTGCTAGATTGGCCATATCCTGTCCTGTCTCACTCAATTCTCCTGTTGCACTGCAGGCAAGCACACCATATTTGGCCGAGTGTCGCATGGAATGGACGAGCTGAAACGGCTGGGCAACGTGCAGGCAGACAGGACTGACAGGTGATGCAGCAGGAATGGGATGTGTTTTTTAAGGCATGCACAGTAATCCAGTTCTCTTCCTCGTGATGCAGAGCTCTTTCAGACCTTGTGATTCTGTGCTTTTGTGTCAGTATTACGGTACTTTTCCCGTTCGCGCCTGTTCGTTCTGTCTTTCCTCACCTCGATGTGATCCTTCGCTTGGTGCTGTGCTGTGCAGGCCCATCCATGACGTGAAGATTATCAAGGCAGTTCCAAGAGACTAGCTTTCTTGTGTGGCTGTTTAGGGGATCGTAGTATCTAGTGTCAATAAAATATGGGTCCATTAAAATGCCTCAACAACTCCCCTCATGCTTTGCCGTGCACGGCTTACATTTTTACATTTAGTTTAAAAAGTGCACTGTTAGCTGCTATGCTAGCCACAAACAGGGATACCGTAGCCAGATCAACAACCCCGACACCGTCCTAATTATTACGCTTAGCTCAGCGCAGTCGAGCAGCACCAGCTTCCATGGCGCCATCAGCGCGCTCCGTCGTCAGGGCTCGCTTGCTCCTGCCGTCCAACCCCTCCGCGAGTTACGCCGAGTACACCTGCCGCGTCGCATTCCAGGCCCATTCGCGTCGGTACGTCCGTTTCCAGTCGCCCTCTGGCAGCCTGCCGCGTCGCCTTCCCGGCTCGTTGAACTTTGTCCGCGGAAATCACCTCTTTTAAATACGACATGGCAACTTTGCTCTGAGGCGAGAACTCGCTTACCGTGCGGGCTTGCGATATAACTCTCTCCACTCTGACTGCGTCTGTCATGATCCTCGCTAGTGTCCTTGCCCCACCCGCGTACTTTCCTCACTCCTTAGTACCCTCCCTTCCTCCCCCTCCTTCAATGCCTTTCCAGCGACGGCGTGTGTGACGCGTACATTGCATCTGGACGTCTTTTGAGACGTCTCAAACACTCCCCTTCGCTGTTTACCCTCCCCCTTTCCAGTGATGGCGTGTGTGACGCGTACATTGCATCTGGACGTCAGGTGTATCACTGTCAGATGCCAATAGGTCAGGAGAATCTGTTGCAACAGGGCAAGGCGCAGGTGCTTCTGCCGCACCCTGTCGAGGTGGGTTCTGCTGATTGGCACTGTTCATGTGGGTTCTGGTGTGCACATTGTCCGGGTAAGTTGATTTACCCTGATCACTTGGCCTTTTAAATTCACATTGTTCATTTTTCAAGTTGGTTTACACCCTTCAGGTGGGATTCAGGAGGTTTCTGCCCCCATCGTATGAATGCCGCCTCCTCATCATACCACCTCTTCATACCACCTCTTCATACCACCTCTTCATACCACCTCTTCATACCACCTCTTCATACCACCTCTTCATACCACCTCTTCATACCACCTCTTCATACCACCTCTTCATACCACCTCTTCATACCACCTCTTCATACCACCTCTTCATACCACCTCTTCATACCACCTCTTCATACCACCTCTTCATACCACCTCTCCATGCCACGTGTCCACACCATGCTACTGGCCACCGTTTCTTGAAGCGTCTTAGAAAACACGTTATGCTGCTTGTCCACCTCTCATCTCCCGCCCCCCTCCCCCTCCCCCTCCCCCTCCCCGTGTCCCCCCCCTTTCCCGTCCCCTTCAGGACGTCACTCCAATGCCTGTCCCCTCTCTCCTGCACGCAGCGCCCGTGCAGAGCCTTGCATCTGCCGCCCTTGGAGACACCGGAGGGCGAGCAGGTGAGCAGAGAGTGCTCACTCACGAGAACACATGGCTTACATTACATCTGTTGGGCTAGAATGAATCAGTTGGACAGTACTGCATGAGGGCGTGGGCGTCTGCCAGGTGTTCTCATACTGGATGGTCATGCTTATTTTCATCTCACTCTCCCCAGCATGGACGTATGGCTAACCTTAGTTTCTAGTAGAAACGACTCGAACATACAACAAGCTCATTCGTTCAAGAGCCCCACCTTTGTTCTTGCTGCCATGGCTTCATCTCTCTCGCCCTTTTTTACTTCTCTTTCAACGACCTTGCTTTCCCTCTCCTCTCCCCGTTTTCCCTTGCCCCTCCCTCACCCGCCCACCCTTCTCTCCTCCCCTTATCCACTCTTGTCTGCAGCCTCCACTCTCCTTTCCTCAGTGGACTCACTTGGTCGAACCATCGTCTCCACCTTCTCCTCTTCATCTGGTGAGTCAGCATGGTGAACCGAGTCAACCAAGTCAATCGAGTCAGCCGAGTCAGCTCTGGGCTTCCTTTCTTTCACTCTCATTGTCACTTGTATCTGCCTCAGTTGGCCAAGACAAAGCACGCCACGCCACCATGCTGCTGCTCTCCTCTCCTCCCCTCCCCTCCCCTCCCCTCCCCTCCCCTCCCCTCCCCTCCCCTCCCCTCCACTCCCCTCCCCTCCCCTCCACTCCCCTCCCCTCCCCTCCCCTCCCCTCCCCTCCCCTCCCCTCCCCTCCCCTCCCCTCCCCTCCCCTTCCCTCCCCTCCCCACCCCTCCGCTCCGCTCCCCCCCCCTTCCCCCACGTTTCAGCAGCAGCAACTCTTGATTCCATCTCCCACTCTTCCACTCTCCTACGGCCCTGCGACCCCTCCTCATCTCTCCCATCTCCCCGCACATCGCACTGACTCTTGACTCCCTCTGCCACCTCTCCCTCTCCCCCTGCGGCATCTCTCAAGTCCCAACTGGGATCATACTGCTCATATGCTTCTGCCACCTCCATTCCCCCCCCTCCCTCCTCCCCATCCGTCCCATCTCCCCGCACATGACAGTGACTCCTGTCTCTCTCTGCCGCCTAAAGTCCCAACTGGGATTATGCTGCTCATATGCTTCTGCCATCTTCCTCCCCCCCTTCCCTCCTCCCTATTTCACCCATCTCCCCATACACGACAGTGACTCCTGACTCCATCCGCCACCTCTCCCCCTCCCCCTGCGGCATCACTGAGTCGGGGCCGTGCAGCACTGCCATCTCGGTCACAGGACCCGCCACAATCCGGGTATGATTCAGTGAATCAGATTCACGTACCATTGTACTGTCTGAGCTGAGTGTACGTTTCAAATGTACCATGTAGGTGTCTGTTTGCCCCTGCGGCATCACTGAGCGGGGGACTGTGCTGCACTGCCACCTCTGTCACAGGGCTCTGGACGTGCGGGCACAGCAAAACAGATTCAGTTGTACAGTGTAAACGTACAGTGCACAGTGTTGTGTAAATCTTCATGGTATGTGTACAGTGTATGTACGCCATGATTACTTACTTACATACATTTCTGACTTAACTTTTATTGACTCGGTTGACTCAACTTGACTCACCCTCTCCTCGCCTTCTTGCCCGCCCCCCTCCCCTCCGCACCAGGTTTTATTCCTGCATCGTCCCCCTCTCTCTAGACCTGCACGACCCAGAATCCACTTCCCCAGCTTCCCAGTGTTTCGCCCCCCAACTTCCCCAGCTTCCCAGTGTTTCGCCCCCCAACTTCCCCAGCTTCCCAGTGTTTCGCCTCCCGCTTCCACGTCACCTCCCCTTCCCCTCCCTCTCTCTCCCCCCACCAGGTGGCTACGTCCTGCTTCTTCCCCCGATCAGTAGACCTACACGACCCAGCCTCCCCCTCTCCCGCTTCCCCCCTGCGCACATTCCGCCTGCCCTTTCCCCCCGCTGCTGTGGGCTTCCTGGGGGGAACCGAGCGGGGCAGGGGGGGAGGGAAGCGGAGGGGTGGGGAGATGGAGGGGGAGGGGGAGGGGAATGCAGTTGAAGGGGTCAGGCTGCTGGCAGTGTGCGAAGGGCCTCAGGTCTGTGTGGGTGGGTGGGGGGTCTCTTTTGTGCGGTGGGGTGTGGTAGAATTACTCATCTTTGTCTTTGGGCTGACTCACGTGCATGTGGGGTGGGGGGGGGAGTTCATGTGCACAGCTCAGCACAACTCACACACGCATGCATGCATGCAAACAAGCATCCCCTCCATCATTGAACGCTGAATTTGCAACCCATGCCAACAGCCTGTGGCTGCGTCTGACGTCACCATGCCATGTCACCATGCCATGTCATCATGCCATGTCACCATGCCATGTATCATGCCAGCTCAGCATCTGGGACGAGCGGGCTGCTGAAAACGGTGGCTGTATCCAGCGAATCACAGTCTCTCCTGCTGCCGAACCTCTCTACGCCCTAGCCTCGACAGTAGGCTCGGGAACAGGCTCGGTGACAGGCCTGGTAGCTGTAGGAGGGGCCGAGCGCACTGTAGCTGTGTACGACGTGCGGAAATGGGCGGCAAGAGGCCAATGGGTCGGCTGCGTTCGGCAGGACGTGATGGGCATAGCTTTCCCTGTGGCTGGTGGTGAGAGAGAGGACGTGAGACAGGGACAGGAGGGTCTTTCGTTTGGGTCTGATGAATCCGTGTTTGTGTAGAGTGGTGATAATGAGGTGGTGTGTGGGAGGTGGACTGAAGGCGAGGGGAGGGCGGGAGGGGTGCGAAGAGCAGAGAAGGGGAGGGGTAAAGGGGGGAGTGGAAGGGGGGGCAAGGGCGGAGAATGGGGAGGAATTGAGGCCGGGGGGAGGGGAAGGGCTCAGCCAAGCAGAGAAAAGGTGAATCAGCAGAACAGAGAGCAACAGAACAGGGTGCGGCAGAACAGAGAGCAACAGAATGGTATAGAGGACGTCTCTAAAGAGGATGTGGGGTGTGCAGGCAGGGCGGAGGATTCGGGGTTGGACAGAAGAGGAGCACTGGGAGACAGAGAAGGGGGGGAAGGCGGAGGGGAGGGAGAAGCGGAAGGCGACGCAGCAGCAGAAGCAGAAGCAGCAGGGGAGGGGGGCAAGGGGGCATCGCGAGTGCACCAGTCATTCCGAGGGGACAGTGCCTGGTGCGGCATTGCAAGGGTGAGTGCGAAAGGGGTGCACAAGAGAGCCTGTGAATGCATTTTGAGGATGGTATCAAACCCATTTCCCTCCTCTGAGCTCCTTTCCCCTCCTCTCCTACATTCAAATACTCTCCTTTTCCACCCCCATTCCTGATCTGCTACTATACCCTCCTCCCCTACTCTCCTACTCCCCTCCTCCCCACGACTCCCCGAGGGCATGTGCAGGATTTCAACGCCAATCTGCTTGCAGGCTGGTGCATGTCCGGCAGCTTCATACTCGCCGATTGCACTCTCTAGTGCGTAAAGTATAATTAAAGTTACGACCAAAATCACCTGGCAGACTGCATGTGTACATGCCCTTTCAGTACCGGTTCTGTCTGCCTGAAGTGATTTAGTAATTGCAATGGAATATGTTATACCGGTAGTTGTTCAGGGCTACCGTATCTTCCAGAGCACCCAGCCAGTCAACACGGAGCCTGGGGGGTCCAGTTGGCCATAGCCATGGCCAAGCCAATGTGCCGACATGCCTCAAGGTAGCCATGTAGCCACGGTAGCTTGCTCAATCAACGTCTAAATCAAGTGCCATACCGGGGCAACGATTTGCTGTGCGCTTGCAGCCAATTGGTGGAATGCCATGTAACGAAGCATCTTCATGCGCTACGCTTGCTAGTACTTCACAACTTCATTACAACGTTGGTAGAATTAGTGTGTCAGTGCCTGGTGTTGCAGTGATAGGCATGTTTGGAAGACCACTGGACCGTTGAAATGTGTAACGCCTTATTAGGATCAGACTTCTCCCCAACACTGCACAAAGACACAGCTTGAATTAAATAGCTTTCACCTTCTCGACAATCTTTTCAATCACAGAATCCATCAGCTCAGGGTGAGCTGCTGGGTCAGGTAGACCCCAATCCTCCACAGTGGTGCTTGCAGGGAGGTCCACCTTGGGTAGGTTTGGCTGCAGGCAGGAGCGACCAACCACACATGTAATGCACACTTGAATGTCAATAACAAAGCAGCAGGAAAATTAGGTAAGTACGTGACAACCAAGGTGTGAGGTTAGGGAGGGAAGAGACAATGGCATGGCGTGGCTGAGCACACTCGTGGGGCACCACACAACACCCATGCACGGCTGAACCAGGTCACGACACGTGGGAACAAGAGTCATCATCAGGCACCACAACAGGACAGAAACACCGATAAAGGAACACTTCAATACCACGAAGGTCTGATCAAAGAAACACTTCACCACTATCATGGCTCACCAGACAGCCCATCATCACAATCATGACTCACCAGACAGCCCATCATCACAATCATGACTCACCAGACAGCCCATCATCACAATCATGACTCACCAGACAGCCCATCATCACAATCATGACTCACCAGACAGCCCATCATCACAATCATGACTCACCAGACAGCCCATCATCACAATCATGACTCACCAGACTTCCCATCATCACAATCATGACTCACCAGACAGCCCATCATCACAATCATGACTCACCAGACAGCCCATCATCACAATGAGGTCCCAGTTGTTCTCCAGACCCCCAATCTCTTCATCTGCAATGCCCTGAGAAAAGATGGCGAAGAAAGAAGGCAACAAAGAAGACCTTGTATAAACAAGTTGAATAAGGGGAATGCGTAGCAACCTAATGTAACCGTTTCTGCATGTGCCCTTGACTAGCAGCAATGCAGTTCCACATGTCAGTGCACTCAGTGCACTCTGTGATGAATCAACCATTTCCTTCACCTTGGAGCGTGCATGATCTGTGGGATAGCCGCGACTCTTCAGCGCCTCGATCATGACTGGGTTCAGCTTGCCTGCTGCATCCACACCTGCCATGAGACAAGTCATAACAGCACGGAAAATGTTATGAGTAATTTGAAGAATCTGCGAGATAGCTTTGAGGCTTGATTGACTCAATCATGACCGGGTTCAGCTTGTCTGCTGCATCCACACCTGCTGTAAGACAAGTCACAGCAACAGGGAAAACCCATACAACAACCCACTAGCAGCTCATGTTATTTGTTAAGAACTTACACAGTACATACACACCTTCTATCACAGCAACAGGGACGCAGATCACGTTACCTAATTGCCCTTGTCCTCCAGAGAATTCTCAGTACACATTTACACCTTCTAACTAACACAGCAACAAGGATACAGCGCAGGCTTATAACTCACCTGACCGTGTCAGCAACATTCTCGGGACGGAGCATGCATGCTATCACCCTAGCATTTGCCCACAAACTTTCCGTCGCTGTAACTTACCCTTCCCCTCTATCCATCAGGACAGTGGTCATGATTTTCAGAAACCAGAACCATGAATTCAGGGCCGCGAAGCCAGGACCACACATCCAGAACCCTATATTCAAGACGACAGATTTGACTCCACCAGATTCAGCACCATAATTCCAGGATCATGATATTATATCCATACCTGAACGTTGGATACCAGACCCTGAATTTGTACGCAAAATTCGGGACGCTAGCCTGCAAATCGCTCTTCCAATTACAGCTTGAAAACTTCTTTCTGGACTGCACTACTTGCACTGGTCCCGATCGTCGATAGCATTCCCTGTCGCGGATTGCCTCAGCGCATCGCTAATCTTTATCCTGACTTACCTACATTGAGCTCTCTGTTCCCTTAAGTGACCTTTACAATGCGGACTCTGCATTCATCTCCCCCATTCTTCCTATTCTTTCCTCCTCGTCCCATTCTTCTGTCACTCTTCCCGCATTCGTCCCTTTCTATCTTGTGACATCGCTCCGGGTCCGCCCGTACCTGCGCTTTGGACTTCGAGTTCCGGTCGCAGATGCCTCGCGATCGCTTCGGCCGCGATCGACCGGTTCGCGTTGTGGCTGCAGACAAACAGGACGCGCTTCGGCATGCTGTCTACTCGACGTTTAATCTGGACACGAAACGCAGTGATTCGATGGAGAAACATACGGAAAAAAAAAAGTGGAGAAGATGAGGAGAAGGGAAAGTGAGCGAGAGAGATCGTTGGGAAGGGGGGATTGAGCCAACGAGGACGACGACTGAGGAAGTTTGTGGGATATCATAGCACCAGCTGACCTGTCGATATCAACCACGTACGAACGAACCTTGAAGCGAGGGAGTGGTGACGCAGGCCGAGGCGGCTACTCAGCTAGGGATAGGCACATGCGTTCTGGAAATGAAAATTGCAAGGCGAAGCGAAGCAGCGAGCAGCACTGACCTCGAGAGTGGGAGGTATCACTGGGGTAAGTTAAACTCCACCAAACCCTTTCTCAGCGAGCAGCGTGCGGAAAATGGCGCTGGGGAAGCCTAATAAGTTTCTTTCGCTCGAATTAATCCAACAACAATAAAAGGATTGTCCCGTTGTTTCCGTCGAACGGAAAAGTCGGGTCGTGCCCATCGCAGCCATGCTTTATCTGGAATGTGAGCCATCAACTCCTCAGAAAAGCCTTCCTTTCCAAGTCCTCTCGGAATGGAGATTGGAGCTGTGCGGGCGGAGAACAGGGGGAAAGGGGGAAGGGAGAGAGGGGGAAAGGGGCAGAGGGGGGAGGGGGGAGCTGTTGAGGGGAAGCGCATTCCCCCATTCCCCCTTTTCACTGCGGAGGGAATATTCCTTTTCGAAGAATTTCCTCGAAAGGTCCTGAGCATCTTAGACGTTTTTCAGGGTTCGAATTTACCCCAGCACATGGAAATGTTCCCGATTACCCGTCAATACCCATAAAGCTTTAAAATTCAGGGAACAGTGCTTCTTTGGATGGGGAGAACAAATTGTTTTTCGGTGGATTTATCCGTTCAGGTAACAATTTATTGGTACCTGTGACCGAACCCTCAACATAGAAGACACAAAACAATTGCTGCCAAGCAGCACAATTCCCTCCAGATCTGCCTTTTAGCTACGCGCCTTGGGAATCCTGCCGCCAAATACGCCACTCTCTCACAGGCCTCAACCATCGCCACGCCATGTATAAAGCCAGTGGCAATTTCAGTGACAGGGATCAAAGTTTGCACGTGTACCTCCTGTTGTTATCTCAATTCAGTCGACTTTTGTCCCGAACGCTTCACGAGCATCGACTTACGTATTCCTTGCCGGTTATAACATCACATTGCGTCGCCATCGACTGACAGACCGGCGCCATGGCTGAAGCGCAAGTTCAAGGCGTGGAGGTGCAATGCGTACCCGAGAACAAGAACCTTCCGCCGCTGCTCGCGTCGTCCGAGCCCGGCGCGGACGAGCAGCAGCTGGGCCTGCGCTGCCGCTTCACGCGCAGCACGGGCGAGACGGAGGAGTATCCGGCTACCATGAAGAAAGAGGGAAGCGGCGCGACGCAGTTCAGCTGCTGCTGCCCGTCTGAGGTACGTCAATCAAGACGCGGCATCGTAGTATCGTCATTCCAAGTCACGTGTCACGTCATCAGGCAGGGTAACAGAAAACACCTGATGTGCGACTCTTGCTCCCGCCTTTCCCCTTCGCTTACATCACACTTTCTCCTCAAACCCCCAGTTGCACCACATTCCATCTTTCCCCTCAATCCCGTCTTCACCTCTCTCCCCATGATACTCTCACCCCTACCCCCTTTTCCGTCTCGGTTCCCCACGAAAGGCCGTTCCGCGGACGGACTCGGCGCGCGCGGCGCTGGTGTGGGGCGCGGAGGGCGAGGCGGAGGTGGCGTACCGCGTGGTGGCGGTGCTGGAGGAGAAGAACGCGCCCGCCGTCAAGGAGCTCTCCGCTGCCGGTGGGTTGCTACCGCCTCCAGCGGTGAATTACTATCTCCGCTGCCGGTGGGTCACCACATGTCGCAGCGTGTCACTGCGTGTCATTACTATATCCGATGACGCTTCCTCGCGGTCTACCTTTTCCTCGCCATCTCCCAAGCTTCCCTCATCCCCCAAGCTTCTTCACTTCCGCGACCTCCCCACCCCCTCCCACTTTTCGGGTTTCCACCATTTCCCTTATGCTACAACGCACAGCTGTCTTCCGCAGCATGTCGCTGCTCGATCGCTTCCTGGCCGTGTGGATCCTCCTCGCCATGATCATCGGCGTGCTGCTCGGCTACTACGTGCCCGCCATCCGCGACGCCTGGGAGACCGTGTCCGTCGCCAACGTGTCGCTGCCCATCGCCATCGGCCTCTGGTGGATGATGTACCCCGTGCTCTGCAAGGTAGGGTGATTTACCCCGTGCTCTGCAAGGTAGGGTTATTTACCCCGTGCTCTGCAAGGTAGGGTGGTTTACTCCGCGCTCTGCAAGGTAGGGTTATTTACACCGTGCTCTGCAAGGTAGGGTTATTTACCACGTGCTCTGCAAGGCAGGGTGTTTCATTGGGAGACTATCGAGAAGTTTGCGTAGAGAGCGTGTTGAAAATATTGAGCAAACACAACGTCGTAGGATCAAGCAAGGTCAGGTTATACCCAAGGTCCACTTGGTTCCTCGCAACTCAGGTGAGCTTATTGACCCCTAAACCCGATTCCAAACCTAAAACCCAACCTGAAATCCGAACCTGAGATCCAAGCGCTTAACTTCCCTCCCCTCCTTCCCTTTGTACGCAGGTTCGGTTCGAGCTGCTGCCGAAGCTGTCCCGATCCTGGGGCCTGCTGTTCCACATCGGCGTCTCCCTGGCGATCAACTGGGTGCTCGCTCCGCTGCTCATGACTGGTGCGTCCCCTTTTTCATCAAACCAGAATGATGTGCTCTTCACTGAATGCAGTGTTTCCAGCACTGGTTGCTCTTTCCATTTCACCATCAGACCTTCAGTTCCAAGCCTGGTCCATATCAGACTCGATCATGTCTATCCACTCTGTCTCCTCTCCTCCCCGTTGCTCCCCGCCAACAGGGCTGGCATGGGCCACTCTCCCTGACCAAGCAGGGCTGCGCTCGGGCATCATTCTCGTGGGCATAGCGCGCTGCATCGCCATGGTGCTCATCTGGAACCACCTGGCGGGTGGCAACGCCGAGTTCTGTGCCATCCTCGTCGCAGTCAACTCCATCCTGCAGGTCTGTGCATGCGCTCCTGATCTGTTCCATCCTGTCTTGCCTGCTGTGTCGCGCTCCGTCCACCCGAATCTCCCTTCCTCTCTGTTGTCCGGGTTTCGGGTCTATACCAACCTTCTCACCTCCCTCAATCCCTTCCACCATTTACTCGCCTGCTCGTTACTACACCACAGGTGATCCTCTACTCGCCGCTGGCCATATTCTACATCGACGTGGTGTCGCACGGCGGGTCAGTGGACGTGTCCTTCTGGACCGTCGCCAAGAGCGTGCTCATCTTCCTCGGAGTGCCGCTCCTCGCAGCCGTAATCACGCGCTTCACGCTGCGCGGACTGGTTGGAGCCAAGTGGTACGACGACAAGTTCCTGCCGTGGTTTGGCCCCACGGCGCTGCTCGGGCTGCTCTTCACCATCTTTGTCATGTTCTCGCTGCAGGGCCAGAACATTGGGAACAACATTGGCAAGGTATGGAGCTCTCTTTTGATCTGCTGGCATTGGCATTTGCCCTTCTCTTGTGCAATTCAGCTCCTTTTCTGTTTTTTGGATCAACTCACATCAATTAATAATTTGAGAAACCATGCAGTTAATCTGCTCCATCAATAGTTGCCTATCCACTCACTCGTCCCCTGTCACCCTCTCTTACTCCTCCCCATCCTCCCCTCCTTCAGGTTGCTCGTGTGGCCGTGCCTCTCCTCATCTACTTCGGAATCGTCTTCTTCAGTGTTATGGCCCTCTGCTGGCGCCTTGGGTTCGCCTACTGCGACGCCGTCACCCAGTCGTTCACCGCAGGGAGCAACAACTTCGAGCTTGCAATTGCCGTTGCCGTGGCATCCTATGGCATTGGCTCAGACGAGGCCTTGGCAGCGGTTGTGGGGCCGCTGATTGAGGTGCCTGTGCTCATTGGTCTCGTTTATGTCACACTCTGGATCCGCCAGAAGCTTCAGTGGAAGAAATGGAATGAGCGTGCAAAGCTGGTACTTTTTGTCATCACGTTGGATGGGATGTCTTGGTTGTTACATTCCATTTGTCAAGAATCGAACGGAAGGGATTTGCTGTTTACAGGAAATCTTGTAGTGGCAGTGCTCACATGTGGCAGGGTCCTCTACAGCTTGGGGAGGTTCAGCTGCTGATGGAACGAAGAGCAGAAAATGCACAATAAAGAGTGGTCAATTGAGATAAAGGTATATTATATTCCACATGTAAAACATTTACCTGGCATTGGCTATGGCATCTAGATTCGAAAGTTGATGCCCACTCCACTCCAGGCAAAATGAGTGCTCAAATTGCTATAAAATTTCCAGCTTGTAGGACAGACAGAGCATCTCCATGGTGGCTGGATAGGCAGAATCGAGTTGCAATTTGCAAAAACAGCACGAGCATCCAAAACTCATTTTCCTTCCAAGCTCAGGATGCTGGCAGCTGTATCAAGAAGGCATTCTTCAGATGAACGGTACTGCAGTCCCAGCTCCTTCTCCGACTTGCTTTTATCAAATCTGGGGATCTTGCTCAGGTTTCGCCTCAGGAGCTCCAAGCTCACACCTGGGGTGGCCAAAGAGACCAAATACGCTAATGCATTTGGCATCGTGAACGTTGGAGTCTTGGCATTAGGGTATTCCTTCTTGAGTACAGCTGCATTCAACAACACCACAAAGTTTTAGAATGCCTTGGAACATAGAAGTGAGAGGAATGGAAGCAAACCACAAGAACACAGGTAGGGGGGTCAGAAGAGCAAACTATCTTACCTGCCATTTCTAGCATGCTGAGAGTGTCGCCATTGCACAGAATATATCTTCCCTTGGCAGTATCCTTCTCCAGTGCCAGTGCATGTGCAAGCACAACATCGTCAACGTGCACCATGCCAAAATACAAGTCCGGGGCCATGAAGAGCCATCCACCCATCAGCTGCCTTATCACCTGACAACCCATGGAAACATTCTTCAATGAGCAAGAAAGGGAATTAAGACAGTTCAACATAAAGAGTAAGAGATACAAAATTTCTTACATCGAGGCTTGTTCGAACATGCGCCTTCCGAGTGGCTTTACCATAAACCATGGCTGGACAGATGGTGACCAGTTCAAAAGACCAATCTTGACCTTTAATATCTTCTGCGGTCTTCCAAGCATATTTCTCTGCAAGCGTCTTACCCATCGGGTATGGATCTTTAAGACTAAGGTCTCGGTTCCAGTCTTCTTCAGTGAATACATGGTCCTTGTTGTTTACGTAGTCAATAATTGTTGCTACAGATGAGGTGACCACCACCTTTCTGTGACAATGGCAAAATGAAATCGGCAGGAAGAGGGATAGATGATTTAGAAGGAGAAAACATACTGTGGCGACTCGCAACGGAGGAGAGAGCAAGAGAGAGATGCAAGAGAGAGGAGGCGGGTGGCGGGGAGGAGGTTGTGGAGGTGAGAGGGTAGGGGAGTGTAATGTTGCACACGGAAAAGAGAAAACAAGGAATGGAAGTGGCTCGCAAAATCACTAAGCTCACTTGGCAGTTTTGTGTTTGAGGATGGAAGAGAATACATTTCTCGTGCCCTCCAGAGCTGCATCCACTACAGACTGCGGATTCGGCACACTCATACGAACAAGAGAGGCGACGTGGCACACAAACTCGCATCCTTCAACGGCTTCATCGAAGCTTCCAGGCTTGCTCAGGTCGGCTGAAAAGAGCTCAAGCTTGCCTGGAGTGCCCTCTGCCTGCCAGAAACAGAGAGCATGGTCACATAAATTAATCATCCTCGTGCTGGATCGTTCGAAGTTACTTGTTGATATACGGACTTACGAGATCGCGAATCCACGACGTCTTGTCCTCATTGGTCGCGTCCCTAACTGTTCCGCGGACATGATACCCGCGATCCAGCAGAAGCTTGACGAGGTGGCTTCCAATAAAACCTGAGACAAATTTGCTCGGAGAAGGTCATGGTTCATGATGATCGATTCACATACTTTCGAACGTAAACTAGGTAGGCCACATACGACATTACCAGATGCTCCCGTGACACATACTTTCTTCCCCTGTCCTGGCAATGACTCGATGTCAGCCATGGTTGACAACCTAGTTCAAACGATGAATCTGAAGGTCAAGCCTCAAAGCGTCACTCTGAGCGACGCGGACCAATTTATGATCCTTGTACGCGTTATGTCATGATGTAGTTGGTACGAGTACGGGCACACACTGATGCTCTCAAGTGGTGATAGACAAACTGAGCAGCAAATACTGTACGTAACATTTTCACAAACTTTCTCAACATTTTTAACATTGAGGATCTAAGATCTAACAAATGCTGATACATTGGGCCAGAGAGGCACTGATTAGTTAGGTTGTACGTTACGATCACTGAACCCCGATCCATCTTGCATAATCTACCCACCTGCAAGAAAATTTAAGGCATTAATTAGTCAGAAGTGGTGGAAGGTGTGCCATATGATGTCACGAGAAGCATTGAAAAAAGGAGACTCACAAGAGCGAGCCAATGAACGTGTTGGACGTGCGGAAGATAAATGAGAGAACTGAAAGGAGAGTCTTGTTGCCGTGGAATCGAGGCTCCAGCCACTGCTGCTCAATCACACCGGCCATTATTTGGTACCTGCACACACAAAGAAATGAGATATACACAAACTTGAATATGGAACAGTGGAAGCAAGTATTGTGTGTGGTATACACACCCATGGACAGCACATGACCTGCATCAACAGCACACAACTAGATGATGTTGACCCCTTCCCTCAGTCACAACCCACCTTAAGTTTGCAGAAATCGCTGCATAGGACCCATAAGCCAAGCTTGTAGCGAGTATACGCACCTCCAGATCCGGTGGCATGGACCCTGCAGCTGAAGTTGCCACCTCAGCAGCTGTGGCCAGTGCAGCCACCACATCAGCAGCCGATGCCGACACAGCAGCTGCCACATCAGCAGCGACCGCCGGGTCCAATACCAAGGCAGCAGTCGTGGCGGCATCAATGGCAGCAGCAGGGTTTAGGGTAGCAGCCAGCTCAGACGAAGAGTCTAGAGGAAAAGAGGCAGCAGCGGTGAGGTCTAGGGAGGGGATTGTGGCTGCAGCAGCGGCCGGGGGGCCAGCAAGCTCCCTGCGCACCCATTGGAGGGCGTTGGTCATGCCACAGCCAAACTGGAGGAGGTCAGGGAGGGGATGTAGTGACATGGGTTAGGGATACGATTCGGCAGAGGAAGGAGCTTAGTTGAGAAATTGCTGGAGACCAAGCATGGCATGGTGAAGGCATGGAGTTCTCAAAAAGGAGGCATGTGTGGTGAAATGAGGCATGTGTGGTGAAATGAGGCATGTGTGGTGAAATGAGGCATGTGTGGTGAAATGAGGCATGTGTGGTGAAATGAGGCATGTGTGGTGAAATGAGGCATGTGTGGTGAAATGAGGCATGTGTGGTGAAATGAGGCATGTGTGGTGAAATGAGGCATGTGTGGTGAAATGAGGCATGTGTGGTGAAATGAGGCATGTGTGGTGAAATGAGGCATGTGTGGTGAAATGAGGCATGTGTGGTGAAATGAGGCATGTGTGGTGAAATGAGGCATGTGTGGTGAAATGAGGCATGTGTGGTGAAGGGAGGCATGGTGGTGAAGCGAGGTGTGTGTGGTGAAGCGAGGCATCTAAAAGTATAATCTGGATAAACTGGGAGGGCGAGAGTGAGTGAGAAGCATCAGCTTACCAGGGATGCAGTCGTCCCGACAACCATGAGCTTCGCTCCGTTCCTCTATAAACGAGCAAGGAAAATGGGTGGGCGAGCGGGAGGTGAGTGGAAAGGTGGAAGGCGGTTAAGAGCGATTGCCACTGGAGAGGAAGGAATTCTGGGGCGCTCCAAGGGAGGGTTAGGTAGGATTAGGTAGTGCAATTGCGATTGGTGAGGTTACTTGGGGTTAGTGGGTTCGGATGGCGAGAGGAAGGCAAGGGGGTAATGATTGGGGTGCAAGCTGGCTGGACAGGGGGTCCCACATTGTGTGGATGCATGGAGGGAAGTCTCTGGCACGAAAGGGGCACGTGCCACGTGAGGGAAATTGGAGCAGCTACACGAGGGATAAGATCTCCGGAGCATCAGCGGAAGCAGCAGCAGCAGTGGGAGCAGTGGGAGCGGAAATCAGGCTCGGACTCACCAGCACAGCCATGAATCGCTGCAGGAGAGTGTACTCCGTGCCGCGCACAGGCACCTGGGATGGTGCAATGCAACACACACAAGGAAGGCAGGGGTAACAAGTGAGACGCTCCTTCACTGGTCGATGCACTCAAACGGGAGCACAAGCAGAACGAGCAAGAAATGACATGACAAATATTCCTTCCTTTGGAAGTGAAGGTTGACACCAACAGCTGCTCCTGATAGGGATGTGCCCCACCCATCCACCCATTCACCCCCAGCTCGGCAACCATTCTTGCTCACGTTGAACGCGTCAACCCCCGCATCAGCCATAACCCCACCCCACGCTCTCCGCGTGCTTCCCGCCTGGTACCATTGTCCGGCCACACGACGCCTCGAAAACGCTTGTCATCCAGAACGTGTTAACGTCCAGGCATCAGCAAGAGCCTCCCGTCACGCGTTCAACACTTTCGCATGGTGGTTTCCTACCTGGAACGCGTTGTCCGGGCAGGTGTCGAGAAACTTTTGCAGGGCCGTGGCTTCTTTGGCGAGCGCGGGGTGCAGAGGGATGGTGGGGGCAGGCAGCCACACGAGCATGAAGTCCGCTATGAGAGCCATGATCTGGTGGCGGGACGGGGTGCAGTGCAGTGGAGAGGGGTGAGGAGTGGTGGAGCAGGGCTTAGGTCGTCAGGATGACTGGGGTTGGTTAGCCCGAGAGCACTGGGTGCGGTGGGATGGTGTGCATGGGCAGCCACACGAGCAATGAGACTGCTATCAGCGCAATGACCTGCTGCAACGGTGTGCAGTGCAGTGGAGAGGGATGAGGAGTGGTTGAGCAGGGCTTGGGTCGTCAGCCACACGAGCAATGAGTCTGCTATCAGCGCAATGACATGCTGGCAAGGCGGGGTGCAGGCGGTGGGGAGGGATAATAAGTGGTGGAGAAGGATGTCCAAGGGTGGTCAGCCTGAGGGAATTGGGTGCGGTGGGATGGTGGGGGGAGGGGGCAACCACGCGAGGTTGAAGTCGGCTACGAGTGCCATGATCCGGTTTGCAAAATGTAGAGAGGGATGGTGGGTGGTTGAGTGCGGTGGGGGAGGTGAATGGTTTCAGAGAGGGTTGTGGTGAAGGGAGAAGTGGAGAAAAGGTTCACAGAGAATCTAGTCATCGTGGGCGAGGGGGGATGGGAGGGGGCGGAGAAGGGGGGTTGTTGAGAATGTGGAAGGAGAACACTGGAAAGTGTATGACGAGAATAACGGGATGGGCGAATGGGACCAAGAGGAAGTGACCCGGAGGGAGGAGGTCACGAGAGGACCGGTACAGCGGGCGGAAGGAACTGTCTGATCGGAAACGCTGATATGGTCGTCCTCCTGGCAGCAATTGGGCTCCAGTCGTTGGTTACCACGTAAGAATCTCTCGCCACGTCAGCAGCTGCTTACCACGTCAGCAATGACGAAGTCGAACTCGGGGAAGAAGGCCGCTCGCCGCCTTTCCAACTCCGCCGAGGTCTGCCGCGGACGAGAAGGGAGGGGGAGCGGGACAGCACGGGGAGAAAGGCAATCAGCCAAACAGTTCAAGCAGTCACCCAGAGCAGCAACGAGCAATCTTAGATGGAACCGGTCTGAAAGACCCAGTCCCGCAGAACACAATTCTTAAGTTTGACTTGCGACGTCTCAAAACACATCTTACCTCTCTCGATCGGTTGATGCCGAAACGACCCACTCCTCAAACTGTCCAAATCAATCGAATCAACTTCGATGTGCCATCGTACCTTAGTGAATGCCAATCCCGCACTCGATCGCGACCTTGGTCATGAACAGATCGTCTGCCAGCAACCGCTCCTTAAACCCGCCGAACCGCATTAAATAACCCAGCACCACTGTGTTCTCCATCTCCGCGTACCGCTCCACCACCTCCCCGGGCACGCGGCCGCGCGCAATCGCGTCCGCCAGGTCCGCGGGAAGGCTGTCCGCGGACCGCCCCAGCCGCGCAAGCACTGCTGCGCACTCCTCCGCGTTCTCCTGCGACGCCGCCGTGCCGAGAGCCGCTGCCGCGCCGTCTGGCGTGAGCTCCGGCGACATTGCGCTTCCGGCGGCGGCGGTGGTGGAGCCCGCCGCTGCTCGTTTCTCACCTCCAGGCACCCTCACAGAAAGGCAGGACTTTTGCCGCGCTGGCCCGAATGCGGGGCCGCTGGGAGCAAGGCGCGATCGAGCGACTGAGTGTCTTAGGGTTCGGGAGGGTTGTGCTCGAAGCGGGAGGGTGGGGGAGAATAATTGAGAGTCTCCGCGTTGACCGCATGGCTGGCGTGAGAAGGTTGTGCGCGGGGAGCTGGCGGAAAATTGGCGGATAGTTGTTCCGTTATAAAAGGTTTGCGTGGCAGCTATGTCGGCGGCCATGACTGACAGTGCGCACGAGATTACGCAAGTGCGAGGTGTTTTGAGATACTTCACGATATTCTCAAACACCTATGTAGTGCGAGGTCACGAGCAGTGCTAGACCACGATAACTGCTACTCACGATTATTGCTAGGCCACGATTAGCAGCGGGTTCGAATAAGCTGCTACTTGTGCGTACAGCACCACTGAGGAGGAGCAGGGTCAGAGGGAGATGGGAAAACTGGGGTGGGGAGGGGAGAGTGAGAGCAGAGCAGGGAAGTGTGGTGGATTGGTGGATGGCTTCGGCTGCTGCTGCTCTGGCAGAATATTCTGAGCGTGAATGGACGAGCTACGACAAACTGAGTCTACAACCAGTAGTGATGGGAGTCGTGAGGGGAGGGAGGGAGGGGGTTTGTTGGTTGGAAGCGCGCGGAGGAGGTGCTTGGTTCGGGAGGAAATAGGGCAAAGCTGAGAACGAAGCTGGGCTCTAGCTCGGCTGCCTGACAGGGCTGTCAGTTTCTTTCAGGTCAAAAGGGGCTCATTTCGGCGCTAGCTTTCTGGTCAAAAGGCAAGTGGACCATCCCGCGGGGCAGGCCAAATGTTGTACTTGGCCAGGTTTTCATGGCTTTGTGGTCCTTCCCTAACCAGGCTCCCGCCAAATTGGTGTCAAGATCAGACTCGGCTCGGCCTCCAGGTGGAAGACCTGGTACGGTATGGAACCTAGCCTGCTTGGTCGCACGCGGCTTGATCAGGTTGTGGTTCGAAGCGCATATGCAGAACGTGGATATCGTAACGCTAGGGATTGGCTACTACAAAAATCAACCACTCATAACCGGCGACATCTCTCATTCTCGAATTCGCACGTGGTACGCGACATACCAAAAGGCACTTCCGTGACGTGGCCGTACCCATGTACCCCTCGCTTCTCGGAATGCTCCGCTATTGTCATCTGGCGAATAAAACCAAAACCTATCAACCCCCATGTTTCTCACACCATATGAAGCCTGCTGTGCCATAGCATGAACTGGTTTGCATTTGGATGTCATCACCTCTTTATAACAGAGAATGCCATACAGCTCATCAGCCTGCACCACAGACTGCCTGAGCCAGCTTCCGTGCTATCTTCCTGCGGCAAATCCTTTACAGCAGCACATCGCGCTGTCTTATTTCCATGCCGAACAACCATCATACTACAAGCAAGCACACCAACGACAAGCTTCCAGTCAACCTGCGGCTTCCATTCCATGCCTCACAAGCAGCAGGTTAATATCTTAGACTGCACCTCGTGCATCTCCCTGTTCTATATCTCCCCTCATGGCCATTTCCGCTTCTTCATCACAGCATCCCCCACAAACTTCACTCGGAACAGCACACAGTTCCTCTTGCTGTGAAAGTTCGCCCTTTGGCTGTTTCCCTTGACATGCATGGGCATGCCAAACGCGTCAACAGTGACTGACCTCATTCTCAACCTCACCACCGCGCCTTCCGCTATTTGGGCTGCTGCCAGCCAAGCCATGTCACCGTTCACGCGCGTGTCGTCGTATCGCAGGTGGCCGTCTGGCGTCAGCTTGAACGCGAACCTTGGGAGTGTCGCATTCTTCTTCTGCCCTTCCAGACACATGATCCGTGACATGTCAGCCACCGTGTCAGACAAATCCAGAGTTGATCCGCGTAGGAGGGCCACGAGTGTACCAGGCTCCAGGTTCGCATCGTACGCTGTCTTGGGACGGAACGCCTGCTTGGATGCAGATTTTTCATACGCTGCCTTGGGACGGAACGCTTGCGTGTCTGCAGCGGACGTGCTACTAAGAGCAGGGAGGGTAATTGTAGGGAGGTCGGTTTCGTACCCCTCGAAAACGAAGGAGCACATCTCGGGAGTAGGCGGGCAGCTGAATTTTGTCGTGACTCCAGGGCCAGGCGGCGGGACGGAAGGCGGAGGAGCGGAGGGAGGTGCGGGGGGAGGGGGAGGTGGGGGGGCGGGGGAGAGGGGAAACGTTGGTTATCGTCCTCGTCATTGTCGTCATCATTCCCGTCACCGTCACTATCATTGTCATCATCGTCCTCATTATCATCATCCTCGTTCTGATGTCGATCGCCAAAACGGCTCTCGCCTTTCGTGCGCTTGACCCTTTTAGCTGAGGATCCTCCCTCCTCAGTTGAGCCTTGCCTCGCCTGCTTCTTCTCTTTCTTCACAATCTTCTCCTTTTTTTCCTTCTTTCCATTCTTTTCCTCCTTCTTCAATAAACTATCATTCCCGGACTCCTCACCCTCCGTCCGTTGCCCCTTCTGCTTAGGCGCCTTCGTCTTCTGCTTCTTCTCCTGCTTCTGCTTCGCGTTCGTCTTAGGCTTCTTCTCCTGCTTCTGCTTCGCGTTCGTCTTAAGCTTCTTCTTCTGCTTCTTCTCATTGCTTGATCCGGTGAAGGTAATCACATCGTCCCCTTCCTCGCGTCCGTTCTTCTGCCGCTTGTTTTTACTCTTATTCGATCTCATTTGCTGTGCAAGGTCCACCTTTTGCAGCCCGTTCACATCCTCACTCCTCGGCTTTAGCCACAGCCGTCGGTGGACGCTCGTCGCACGGCTCCAGTCAGTCGTCAAGTTCGCGAGCATTCGCCCGCGTCCAACAGTCGCATGGGCCTGCTTAGCGACAGTGTTCGCGGCGGTCGCAAGGGCGGAAATTTCAGCACGCGGACTCTCGGCGTCGCAGACAACGCTTGCAACTGCGAACAGTGCGGCTAAAGCGACGAGGACACGTGGCGACGCCCGAACTAGACTGCAAAACACCCATAATCTCTCACGGTCCATTTAGACCGATAACACTGATACAGATAACAGGGTAAAGTTGTTCGCTGTCACGCATGCTAGGAGCTAATGACAGCATCCTATTTCTAGAGACGTACTTATCCTCCCCGTCACACAAAGCCTTGGGCAGTTTCTCTTGCGATGTACTTCCATCGCGTCACGGAAGTGCGCCCTCCCCTGAGCTCCATCTTCCAGCCGCGCAACGAGAAGGACAGCCCCTGTTGTTGACGGCGCCTTCCCGCTGTCAGCCAAGCTGACAGGAGCAGGATGCCCGTCCATCCTTCCACGAGAACGAAATCCACGGTCCAAATCCCCTCCCTACCGTCAGAAAGAGTGGTGGTTGCAACCTCCTCGTCCGATCTCAGAGCGCAGGTGGAGCAGGTGAATCTGAAAGGTGCTCCAGCAATGCGGCAGACGAACGAATTCTAACGACTGCTGGTTTCGTGGGAATTGCTAACCATCACTTACGAGCTGGCACCTTGTGAGAACACTGAGAGATGATAACGTATAGGAGGTATGCTTATGAAGTGTATATTGAAGCTGTGATTTCGCTGGATGAAATACATTTTACATGTAAAATACATTCGCAGTTGTAACTGTATATCGAAGCTAGGATGTCCTCCACTCGAGGTGCAGGGGATCTCGAAGTGTGGAACACGTCTGCTGAGGATGAAAAAAGGCTCCCAGAACCTGGAAGAGTCAAGCTAAGCAACCGCCCAAACCGACACCCCCCCGACATGTCACGCCGCAAACGAGACGCCTCATGAGGGTGTGGGGCACGTCCACTTTCACGGGAATATATCTAGCAGTCGCTTGCCGCCACGTGGATACACCTCTTCCCTAGTGGTCAATGACGGCAATAACCTAAACTTCTGTGCACGTAGGCAAGAGGGTCCTCCGCCAACGGTGCTTGGAGGAAGTTTCATGGAGTCGCGCGAAGTGGAGAAATCTCCCCCAGCCATACGAACCAGTACAGTTTGTGGTGGGAGTAGCTTGGGGAGAGCTTCCAGAAGCGGGAAACTGTTTGGGGGAATTCCAATGGCTTGGTTCGAAGCCCACGAGGTCAGGTGCAGAAATCTCTTTTGCCTTTTCCTCCCACGTGGCCATTAGGATAAAGTTTATGATCTCTCGAAGATACCAGTAAGGTTCATTGAACCACTAACGTTGGGGTCCACGCGACGCCTTCCATCCGAGGCTGAGTTGTGAAATCGCCAAAAATGACATTCGCCCAAGGGTGTGTCGTGCACCATCCACTTCAAAAACATTTCCAAGGCAGCAGGTGCACGGACGTTGTTGACCACCAACCAGGCTTTTGCCTTTCTCCTTGCTTTGCCCCAGGTGCTACTCCATCCATTACCACCAGTCCACACCACATAAATCTAGCTTCTCTAGTCGTATTTCGTAGAACTGCACCTGTTCGGTCTCCGTCGTCTGCACATAGATTCATCGCTCTTCAAATCAGGCATTTCTAGAGTTCCGGGCCAGTTCTTAGTCCCCAACTCTAGCCGCTACTCACAATATATTGTGCTTATAAGCATCTGCACAGATGGGGTTGGAAGAGGATCTGGCGATCTCGCCGGCTATATCGACCGCCATCGGCGGGTTAGCAGGCGTCATAGAGGTGCTGCTGCAGCAACCGCTGGTCACGTGGAAGAACGCCGTCCAGGACATGAGACCCGTCCCGCTGCACCCCAGATTGCTCTATCGCGGGGTAGCCGTGAACGCCGCGTCCATTGCGCCGATTAACGGATTCCAGTTCGGCGCCAACACCTTTTTAGAGGAGTGGTTAGCGGCGAGGGGTCAGCTGACTGACACTACGCGGACAGGAGCGGCGACGGCGGCGGGTGCTATGTCGGGGATAATTACGGGTCCGGCGGAGCTGCTAATGATCCAGCAGCAGAAGTGGGGAGGATCGCTGGGTGCGAGACTACGGGATGTCGTCGGGGAGCACGGCGTCTTCGCACTCGCTAGAGGAACGGTACGCTGGACGTTGTTTCGGGGCATGGGATGTTCATGTGGGATGCTGATGCTAATGCGCTTGTAAACGTAGGCATACAAGCTCATCCGTTCAACGTCAATCCTCATTGTCGCTTTGTGTACATCATTGTTGCCGCTTCAATAGCGCTTTATCCAAATTGGTAGGGCGGAATCTGCCCGGAGCTTTTGGATAGAAGTTCTGGGGCGAGGCGAAAGACATGATGGGGTACCACCAACTACTCAATGGCTCATTAGATGGTCTCAGTTGCAAGCACACCACCAACTGCTGGCTGATCTGCTCCTCCCCTCGCCTTCATCACCCCTTCCCTTCTTCCCTGCAGAATCCCGCAGTGGTGAGAGAAGCAATCTTCACAGGGGCGTATCTGGGAGTGATTCCTGTGATGACGGAGCACATGGAGAAGGCGTGGCCGGTTTTCGCGGAGAGGCCCGTCGCGGCAATGGCGACGGCGTCAGTACTGGCGGGAGTAGGAGCGGCTGTGCTCACGCAGCCCTTCGACACCGTCAAAACGCGCATGCAGGCCAATCTCGCAGACCCTAATTTCAGGTAAGGGAGGCTGGTAGTCTCGTTGCCGTATTTGTGCATCTGTGCCTTATCCGCCTGACCTGATCCATTCGTTTGGTTGAGTGACGGTGAACAGCTATCTCATTCTGTGTGACATTTTCCTCCTCTTTATTCAGGTCCATGACTGGCACATTTGCACGCATGTGGAGAGAAGGAGGCAGCAAGACCCTGTTCAGAGGCCTCATCCCCCGAGCGCAGCGGGTGACATTCGCTGTCTTTATCCTCAGTGAGGCCAAGGAGAGGCTCACTGAGTTGTACCTCAAGCTCCATCCGCATCCAGCAGCCCCGAGTCATGCCAGTGATGCCAGCAGCAGCATGTCACTTAGCCACGTAGATGCCAGGCGGGGGGCAGGCCACCTAGATGCTGCTGCAGTTGCTTACAGAGCGGCAGCTTGTGAGTCTGCGACGGAGGAGGTTTAAGGAGTTTCAGCAGGAGGCTTTTAGAGAGGATGAAGTAGGGGAGCTGCTGCATATGTGGAGCTGTCTTCCAAGCTCTTGTGCATATTGAAGAGTTTCGCCTTTTGGGGTATGGCCCACGATTCAGTTTTGACTGATTTGTTCTTATTATTGTATCGTGTATGTTACAAATAACTATCCATTCAATAATGTCCTAGCATTTGCTAATCAAAAGGCCCAAAGGCTCCTCAGTTGATGCTGTACATGGTCAATATTTGCTTACATGTTACATCAGCATCATTATTTCCTACCACAGCGTCCTTAATTGCTAACCAAGCAAGTTAGCACAAGATTCTACACCTAATTTCCCTAGCACTGGACAGAGTTGAAGCGGGAGAGAAACTATGGCAATCCTTCCAAGAGTTGGAACCTCCGTCCATGTGCCTGTCATGTGGGTGAATGTCAGATCACCACCTTATTTGTGGTCTACATAGAAGACATGTTGGAGAGGCCTGCCACGTTTCCTAAAACTTTCTCATGGATTGCTCCACCATGGCTCTCCATTACTGCTGTCACCCCTCGCTCCACCATCCTGTTGGGTGGAGAGGCAGGCAGGGAACGGGAGTGGAGAAGTTAAAAAAACTGCTCAGCCATAGGCGGCAAAGCAGGAGTTTGGGGCCCAGCTTTTGCGACAGGCTAGGATCATGTTATATGCGGTTCTCTCTCTTCTGACTGACCTGAATATCGTGGCGATCATTAAAGTCAGGTAGATGACGAATCTAATTAGTTGCCGTCTTCTTTGAACGCTTATTTGGTTGAAAACTTCCGTCACATCCACCATGTGCTCTTTCCTGAGGTATCTGTATGGTGAACAAAAGGGGGAAAATAGGAGGCCAGATGCTGTTGACGGCAATGCTCCAGAGAGAAGAGGAACTCAACTTGCAGGTTGATAATAGCAGCATTATGCATAAAGTCATGGTGATACTTACAGGTGAAGGTGGTAGAGGGCGAGAGGGAGGTTGATAAGGAACATGAGCCAGTGGCCGGTGAGGGCGAAGACAACAGTCAGGCCGGAATGGAGGGAGATTTCTGGAAAAACGAAGCCGTTGACTCTTCTGGCAGCGTCATGCGGGTTGATGAAGTCGTTTTCGAGGTCCGATATACAGATGAGCTGGGAACAAGGGAGTCCAGCCAAAAGAGTAAAGAAGAGGAAACGAATTAGAAAACACGAGACGGAATTGATCTGCACCAGGCTGTACAGGGGTATCCGATAAACACAGAACTGTTGCGCGTATACAAGCTGGGTGCTAGTGACAGCTGTGCCGCATGATTCTTGTGACAATATATTATTAACATGAACCGCAGCTTCCAGTGCTTGAAAACTACAACCGGATTTCACCACAAGCAAACGCACCATGTACATGACGATGCCCACTAACGCTGCTGAGACAAGAAACGCCACCATCCAGAACAGTATCGCCCAAGTTAGCGACTCTTGAACTGTGAGGAACGCCATTCTCAAACCCTACTTCTGGCCTTGCTCGGTACAGGAGCTGGAAGAAAAAAGCGCCTCGTGCTAGTGAGGGTGAAATGTCAAGATGGGTCAGCTGAGAGGTTCTACTCGAAGATGCTTGTGACGTGTAGTGCGACTAAGCGATTGGCTTAACTAAGGAAATGGTTTCGGATCAATGGACTTTGAGAAAGAATAGCTGCGGCCATGGCTACGGAAACTCGTCGTCGGACAATCTGCCTCGTGCTTCTGAAATGATCCTCCTGTTGGGGTTCAGGGATCGAGTAAAACGCGATACTTGTTTGGGCACTTCGACTAGAACAACTCAATTGAACGCACTAAGGGGAACTAATACGGGATAATGAGCTGCTCCGCAGAGTAAAAAGCTACGATGCGCATGCGAAAGGTAGACGCCAGGGAACAAAATGCATGCACTGCTACGAGTCTTTAGGCATGGCTCAGCCAAGCACGGAGAGCCGGGACCATGGAGATCAAATTCATGCCCTAGTGAGAAGACGTCGCCGCCATGGCTGACGTCCGTTGAAAACTCCAATTTGCAAGCCGCGGCGGAATGCGAAAAACGTGTAAACGTACACCTCAACTCAAGGAACGGAAGGTTCTTCCTGGCGATTCGCTTCGCCTCTTCGCCCCCCTTCCAAACTGGCCCTCGCCGTGTTTCGTTCGGTTTCGCCCCGTTTCGCCCGCGATGTTTTGTGCGAGGAAGGGGGTGCTGGTTTGTCACGCCGGGATGGAATCTGATCTGACCGTTGTGTTCCTTCATAGTGACGCATTCCATAAACGGTTCACTGACGTTGGGATTGATGTCAATTTGGCATGGATTATGTTCATAATACTGTTGTATATATACATAGGCATACTGCTCCACATGAGAGACTAAACAATTGCTTCCAGATACAGAGTTCATTCATCCTCGTCCTCGTCGTCACTCTGCAGCGAGAAAGACAAATCACACCCAACAGAACCAAGAGTCAGGAGGCAACATATGGTTAGGTGGGTGGGTGCAAGTGGGAGAGCACCACACCAACAATGGAAGAAAGCCAAGTTACCGATATTCAGATCATGAGCTGTTACATCACCTCGAATGTGTCAGGGAGGGGGATGCCCTGATCCAGCTGGCGCAAATGTCCAATGGTGAGTCGCTGTGATGAGGGTAGGGGAATGTGGGGAAGACAACAATACCGTAAGCAATGCCAATTAGCCACCAGTGTCTAAACCATCACCACATAAGTCGATTAGATCAGAAGTCATCACATCATGCCCCCCACTATCAATCACCTCACCTCCATGTCACCCCCCATCAGCTCACTTCCACGTCACCCCCCATCAGCTCACTTCCACGTCACCCCCCATCAGCTCACTTCCACGTCACCCCCTATCAGCTCACCTCCATGTCATCGACAACAAGCCTGCGGTCGCAGCGCCTCTCCAGCAGCTCGAGCACCTCCATGCCGTTCATGGACGTGAGGCCTATGTCGATCAGCAGTGGCTCTCCGGCAATCTCCAGGTCCTGGGAGGAGATAAGAAGAGACAAGGCACATTGAAAACGAGTGCTTCAGCAGCTCGAGCACCTCCATGCCATTCATGGACGTGACACCAATGTCAATCAGCAGAGGCTTTCCTGCTATCTCCAGGTCCTGAGGGGAGATGCCAGGAGGGGTGTGGTATGTATACAAGCATTTGCTCGACATTGCGTTCCCGGAGGGAGACATTACACCTAAGCAAGAGGAAGAACAGAAACAAACGAAAAAGAAAGGGGAAAGGAAAACCCAAATAAAACCAGGAGTGGCGCTCCCATGGATACCCATGATGGCCCTCACAGCTGCCTCCACTCCCGTGCCATCCCACTTGGCTGCTCCCACGTGTCTGTCTTTTGAGTCAACTCACAAGCCAACTAAAACCAAGAGCTGCACTCACATGGATACCCATGATGGCCTTCACAGCTGCCTCCACACCCATGCCATCCCACTTGGCCGCACCCATGTCCTCCTCTTCTTCCGCTGCCCCATCCCCTTCTGCATCTTTGCCCTGCCCATCCTTTGCCCCTGCCATGTCGCCCTCTGCTGCTGCTGCTGCTGCTGCTGCTTCTGACACCACTGCCAGTGGTGCCACTACATTTGCTTCCTCCTCTGCTTCATCTGCTCCCTCAGACCGCACCCCTGCTCCTGCACCTACACTCGCACCTACACTCGCTCCTGCGGCATCACTCATCCCATCTCCAGCTTCACCTTTCCTTTCCTTTACCTCCACACTCTCTTTCTCACTCACCACTTCTCCTCCAACCTGTCCCTCCTCCTCTACCACCTTCATGCTGCCTGCCTCCTCCCTTTCCCCACTCTCCCTTTCCTCTCCGCCAGTCAGCACCTCCTTTTGAGGCACCTGAGCAGAATTTTCCTCTTCGATGATCACCACGCCCTCCTCTCCTCCCTTCGCCTCAGACGGTTCAGGAATCGAATGCAGACTCTCCTGAGCAGTTGGCAAGCAGAAGATCAGGGACAGAGATGACGGGGGGACAAGAAACAGAGAGAATGTAAGAAACACGTTATAGTGAGAAGGTCATTACATTCTATTTTGCTCAAGTGCTGCCTAAGTCGTGCTTACAAAACGGCTCATGAACTTACAATGGTCTCTCCAGCGCCGCCCTCCATGTGCGAGTTACTGTTGAGCACGTTAAGTGTGCCTGCAGTGAGTCGGTGGCTCGTCTCCTTGCGCCGAATCTTGCCACTCGTGGTCTTGGGGATCTGATGAGAGGGAGGACCGAGGAGAGCAAGAGAGCGGCATGAGAGAAGGGAAGATGAAGGAAGAGGCAAAGCTTGCTTCCACCCGTCAGCGGTAGGCTTATCCACGATGCAAGCAATTGGTGTTGTGAACCGAGACGATCTCATCACTAAGGTAATCCTCGTGCAACGCAGTCTCACCACGCAATACACTACTCCCCATACGAGGGGGGATGGGAGCCATGGCAGCGAGCGGAACCTGCTTCTGCCCCCTCCATACCATGCATGCAATATCCCAACCATGCCAACCCCCCAATCCATGCCACCACACTCACCGTGCGAGGTGGAATGATGGCCACGATGGCAGGCATGACACCATGCGCGCGCACCACGCTTGCCATGGCAACCCCTCACTTCCCGCCCCAACCATGCAATACCCCACGCATGTCAACCACCGCACTCACCGTGCGAGGCGGAATGATAGCCACGATGGCAGGCATGACGCCATGCGCGCGCACCACGGCACTCCGAATCTCCCCTGCAAGCTCATTCATCTGCTGCTTCGTCAACCCACCCTCCCCTGCCCCCCCTCCTCCCCCACCCCGCCACCACCCCTCCTGCGCCACCGATTTCACCTCCACCACCACTGCCACCACCTCCTCCTCCTCTCCCTTCTCCCCAGCCCCTTCTCCCTTGTCTGCTGCCGCTCCCTTGCCGCCCGGTGCCGCCCCGTGGCTCGTCTTGTTCACGCTGAAGGCGGCGCAGCAGCCGGGGCGAATGGTGTCGGAAACGGACTCGACGGTGAGCTCGATGTCCTGCGGGTAGTAGTTCTTGCCGCCCACGATGATGAGGTCCTTGATGCGCCCCGTGATGAACAGCTGCTGCGCCACCACCAGCCCCAGGTCCCCCGTGCGCAGGTAGAAGCCGCTGTCGGAGCCGGGTGCTCCCTCCCTCATGCGCGCCCGGAAGGTCTGAAGAAGCCAAGTGGTGAAAAATCAAGAGCGGGGTGTGAGTAAAAAGCACGAGCGGGAGGGAGAAAGCGCCAAGTGATCCGTTCCGCAGAAAGAGATATGAGGTACCACATTATGTGGAGAACACTGAGGCGTGTGAGTGACCTTTGCATCGACTGACGTGGAAGGCTGACGTGGAAGGCTGACGTGGAAGGCTGACGTGGAAGGCTGGGGCTCACCTCCTCTGACAGCTCCGGCTTGCCCCAGTAGCCACGCGCCACGTGGCAGCTGCGCGCCCAGATCTCGCCCTCCACGCCCTCTGCGCACTCCTCATGCGTCTCCGGGTTGACGATGACAACCCGCCCGTCCACGGGGTACGTGGCGAGGTGGCCGCTGCTGTGTAGCGTGATGTCTGGGAGGTGCAGCAGCTGGTGGGAGGGGGCAGGGGGTGAGGGACAGAAGCAGGGGCAGAGGCAAGAAAGGGCATGGAACACGGCTTAGGGTAAGTCTATTGTCGGCCGTCCACGAGGAGGTGGGTAGCGAGGTGGCCGCTGCTGTGGAGCGTGATGTCTGGGAGATGCAGCAGCTGGTGGGAGGGGGCAGGTGGAGATGCACGGGAACAGGGGAGAAAGAATGAGGACGCCCGTAATGGTCGCCCGTCCAAAAGGTACGTGGCAGATGAAAGAGAGGTACACACGACAAGGGTGATGCGTAAGGGTGATGCTAGAGAGGTGTAACAGCCTTGGTGGATGTCCTTGTTGCCCCTAGCTATCCCACACGTACACACGATCCCCACTCCAAAGGTAGATGCAACGTTCCTTGCTGCCCCACCCACATGCTCTGCCAGGCCATAGCACGAGGCCATAGCACGGGCACATGCAGGAAGGTGCATCCCACATTCCCCATCCCACATTCCCCATCCCACATTCCCCATCCCACATTCCCCATCCCACATTCCCCATCCCACATTCCCCATCCCACTATGCCCCACCACAGTCTAGATTCGACGTACCTTGCTGCCCCACCCTGACACGCCAACCACATGCTCTGCCAGCCCATAGCACGGGCACATGCCGCACGGATCCCACCCGTACCGCCCCAGCACCGCATTCCACCGCTCTATCGCCTCCGGCCGCACCGGCTCGGCCGCGTTCAGGAAACATTCCAGTGACGAGAGGTCCAGAGCGGTGGGAAGCGCAGCAGATGGGTTGAGAACGGTGGAAGGGGTGGAGGAGGGGTTGAGAGGGGTAGGGAAGGAGGAGGGTGGGAGGGAGGCGGAGAGGAAGGGGGCGGGCAGGGCGGCATCTCTGGAAGGGACGAACTTGCGCGTGGCAAGGTTAAGCGCAAAGTTGGGCGCTGCAGTGTGGGTGATCTGGGGTGGGGAAGAAAAAAACGGGTGGTGGTGGAGGGAGTACAATTTGAGGGCACTTGGAAGATAAGGGAAGGAGCAGAGCAGCATCTCTGGAATTGACAAACTTGCAAGTGGCGAGGTTGAGAGCGAGACTGCGAGCTGCTGTATGGGTGATCTGGGTTTAGGGTTTAGGGTTGAAAGGGAAGGAGGGAGGAAAGGGAAGGGGGCGAAAGTAGGAGATGATAGCAAGGAGACAACGGGAGAAAGCGAAGAGAGGGCTGCAGAGGCAGGCACAAAGGCACGTTCCAAGTTTGCATGCCCCACCCCAACCTCACACTACCGCTCACCTTGAGGCGGCTCATCCACTGCAGCCAGGAGGCGGGGCGGTGAATGAAGTCGATGGTCGACATGTGCACCCCACTGCGTCCTTTCCCTGCCCGCATCCACACTGCTCGTTCCCTCTCCTCACTCCCATCCCTTCATGCCTCATGCACCCCACCCCCGCCCCCTTTGCTCACCTTGAGGCGACTCATCCACTGCAGCCAGGAGGCGGGGCGGTGGATGAAGTCGATAGGAGACATGTACACCCCACTGCCGCCCGCTGTGAGCGTGCTCAGATACGCCACTATGAGCCCCAGGTCGTGGTACTGGGTGGTGGGAAGAGGGGAGAGGCGACAGGGAGAAGCGAGGGATATGAACGTGCACATGCAATGCATGCCATATGAGGGAGTGTCTGCAATGTATGCGATGTGATGTGATGGCAGCACTGCGTGCATACACGGGAAGGTGACAGGGCCGTCATCAAGCCACCTGCCATGTCAAGTGCTGCCATTGCAGCAGAGCGACTTTTGAGTCGACTGAAAGGTCACCTCCTGACAGGGCCGACAAGCCACCTGCCATGTCAAGTGCTGCCATTGCAGCAGCTTAACTCGTGCAAGCCAGAGCAAGAGCAACACGAGCTCACCTGAGGCAGCCAGCTGAAGAAGCGGATACCAGAATGCATGCGCAGGGTCCTGGAAGGAAACGCAAGGAGAGAGCAAAGGGGAACCAAGTTTTTTTTTAATCTTCTTTTTGTCGCTGCACGATTGTCCTCTTAACATGAATTGAGTCACGGTATTGTGCTATGAGCAATACCGGTGTGAGAAACACCAAGCCACAACTCCTCTCTTCCACAGTCCCACACCATTACTGCTGCTCTGCTACAATTGAAACCACTATCTCCTCATTAGCTCCTGAACTATGTCAACACACAGCTCATCACACACCTCAACACACACCTCAACACACACCTCAACACACACCTCTGACTGAACATTCATTCTGGTAGACCACGCACGCACCGGCGGATGAACATGACGTTGTGGGCGATGTTGGTGTACGTGATCATGACGCCCTTGGGATCAGCCGTCGACCCTGACGTGTACTGCAGAAACGCTATCTCATCACTGCCACCACTGCTGCTGCTGCTGCCACCAGTGCCGTTCGCATTGCCAGCACCGCCAGTGCCATTCTCGTTGCTGCTGCTGCTGCCATTCTCAGCCGCGCTGCGAGGGAGTGGCTTGATGCCGTTGGTGTTGTACCAGTGCTCGCCCGGCCAGCGCACGAGCTTCAGCAGTGACAGGCGGATCTTGGAGCGATACCTGATGGGTGGGAGGGGTATCAGGTGTGGTATCAGGTGTGGCATCAGGCGTGGCATCAAGCGTGGCATCAAGCGTGGCATCAGGCGTGGCATCAGGCGTGGCATCAGGCGTGGCATCAAGCGTGGCTTCAGGCGTGGCATCAGGCCAGCGCAGTACGTGATTCAGAGGTGGATCTTGGATCGGTACGTCATGGGGGATGCAGAGTGGCGCAGTTCAGCAATTGGAGTTGATAACGCACCTACTTTGGGATTGAAGCTGTGGAGAAACAATGGCTGGACAGGTGCATGTAGGCGACCTTAGTCGCGGGCAGTAACCTAATAGTGCAGCAAGCAGCAGCACTGCCTGAGAGCACAAGGCACCAATCCCTTAAAAAAGGTGCACTCACTCGGAGGTGGAGAGCACGATGCGCGCCCCACAGTCGTTGACGAGGCGAGTGAGCTTCTCGACGTCCTTCTTCAGCTCGCGCGGGTTGGGCGGGTACACTGGCACCGCTACCACTCCTGCACCACCGCCAGGAAAGAAGGTGGGCAGAAATGAAGAGGGGAAGGCGGCGGGAGGGGAAGGGCTAGGAATGAGAGAGCTTCTCCACGTCCTTCCTCAGCTCACGGGGGTTGGGCGGGTACACTGGCACCGCTACCACTCCTGCAGTGCATAAGAGAAGGATGGTCAGAGCGAGGGGGGGAGGCGGAGAAGGGGGTTGATGGGAGGTGAGTGAAGTGAACGTGAGCTTTTCCAAGTGCTCCGGACCCCGAGCCCATGCGCCATGCCCCATGCCCTGTGCCCGTGCCCCGGTAGCGCACTGCACACCACATGCCACGTGTCACATGCCACGTGTCACATGCCACGTGTCACATGCCACGTGTCACATGCCACGTGACTCACCAGAGCGCAGGCAGGCGATGAAGGCGATGAGGAAGTCGAGGCCGGGCGGGTACAGCAGCACCACTCGGTCGCCCCGCGCTGCCCCCCACTCGCCCACCAGCGACGCACTCACGGCGCGAGACAGCGCGTCCAGCTGGAGAATGGGGATGCGGATGGGGATGGGAGGTGGCGAATACAATCAGTGTGAAGTTATCACGGGTGCTAGCAGCGCCTCACACCCGCGTCAGGTTGTACACGCACAGAAATTGCCTTTCATGAAAAACCGCCTATGGAGGAATCGCCTTTGCATCCAAGCACGCACCTCCTCGTATGTATACGACTGCTTGATCACGCCCTTCTCCTCCACCCACGTCACTGCGGCCTTGCTCGGAAACTTCCTCACGTTGCGCTCAAACAGCTCCAGAAACGGCAACGCCTCGTCGCGCAGCCACTCGGGCCGCTCGTGCAATGGGATGCCGTCCTGCGGCGGTGGCGGGGTCCACTTGCGCGGGTTGCCCGCCACGTCAGCAGGGCCCGGGGCCAGCTTGAGCCGGCTTGCGTGTGGCGCACGCATCTGTACAGATGGCGTTGCTGCGACCTTGGCGGAGGGCATGGGAAGAGCGGTACTGGCGACGGGAACGGCGCCGGAAGGAAAACTGCTTGCACCAGGGACGTTAGGAGCCATGTGTGCTCGGGCTAGCGGCACAAGTACTACCAGGAAGACGTGGATGGGCTTGGGTGGGAGGTGGAGTGTGGTGGGAAGTGGTGGGTGGAGGGTGGTGATCTGGGCGTTCCGATCGAGGGGATCGAGGCTAGCAGCGGCGGAGGGAGACGGACGACGACGGCCGGGCTCCCAGTTGACGAAAGTAGACAGGTGCAGCAGCAAGCAGCAAGCAGCGCGCAGCACGTCGAGTGGTTCAATGGGAATGCTAACGAGGCCGTGCTGTTCTGCGGCTGAATTCACGGAGGCAAGTCAATGCATGAAACGAAAGGCTCGGTTCTCTCTCCCTCTTATCGCCCCTCGCATGCTCCGGTGGACGCATCGCTCCGTCTCGCGTATCGCCTCTCTTCCATGCAGAGCGACACGGTTCGATAATTCCGTGCAAGTGCACTTGGCGAAAGCGATTGGCGAACATCGCCATGAGGGTGAGGCACGCTGGAGAAAATTGATCCGGAGAGGCGGTGAATCCAACCTCACTGGTCATCCGAGAGACGGATGGCATCATCTGCACCGCACGTCACTTTCAAGAGCAGCAGCCTTGTGACCGATTTGGATGATTCTGGAACCTTGTGATAATCGCGACGCTGGTACAGTACTCGCCAAGCGCACCGAGAGCACTGTACACTGGTTCGTCGTCACGAGGCGACGTGACAGGCAGGGAGATTGCTTGCTCCAGTGTGTGATATTTTTAGGCAGGCAGAGAAAGGGGCTCTCTCCGCTAAGTGTCATAATCGTGTGAGGCGAAATGACAGGCAGGGGGAGACGTCGCTTTCGGCTGTGACATCCAAGGCATGACAGGCAGGGGGATGACTAGCGCAGTAGCAGTAGTGCATGTCGAAATCAGTGCATGCTGACAGGCGACGGGTGACGGAGAAACCGAGGCTACCCAATCATCGCCCGTTCGATTTCAGGCATGTCGTCGAACAAGAGCCGTCCCAATCAAGCTATCGATGTGTACAGCAAGCAGCAAGCAGCAAGGAGTTATGCTAAGCGGACGATGAAATCCCAGCCAGGGAAAAATGGTTTCATGTCAGAGATTACCAGGCCGGGGCACTTGCAGATCGTTGGATTGGACAGATGATGGTCATGGAGGTTATGGGAGACACTGAGGACGCGGTACAAGTGCTCGATCAGGGAAAATCGATCCGGGAACCGCACTGAAAGTCCGCGTTTTGCATACAAAACGTACACAAACTCACACAACCGCGTTAGAAAACGATCCTGAGGCGGACGCGATGGGTCCGCGTCCTGACCGTGTGTGGTTTATTCTGATCGATATTACTGTAATGTGAATAATTGATATTTCACCGAACACTACGAAGACTGTGTATCCTTGTGTGAAAATGGTGACTGCTTCTAGAGAGGATTTTCCAACTTGATGCCAGCGATCAGCACCACATCCAATGAGAGGCGCGATTCTGCCTGACGTGGGCAGCGCCATCATCCAGGAATATGACGTGTACGATTTGATACTGACCGGCAAAAGTTTTTTTTTGAAGACTCGCTGTCACTATGGATCCGATCGAGTAATTGGGGTAAGGTAAGGACGCACGCTGCTGGGATAACTGTAATGGTTGAACTGTACATTAGAAAAGCGTTTTAGATCAGGGGCAAACGTTGAGTTGAGATGAGAGTTCCCAATTCCGATCAACAACTATCTAGGTGTCTGCTGGTCAACAACTATCTCATCAATCAGCCTCTTAAATCTCACCAATTCCTTCCCGCCAATCACTCCAAACCGACGCTCGTGGGGCAAAAATGCGTCCCAGCGTTTCGAGGTTCCCTGCAGGTGGAGACAGCTGCCCCAAATGGAAGTTCCAGTCCGGAATTCTGACATGTGCGACCCTCCTCCCACCAGCACCAGTGAAGTTGACATGTACAGGTCAAACCTAAAAATTTCACGGCGCGTGCTGAGCACCCCGCCTGTGCAGCACGCACGACACTCCCAGGATACACGTGGACCGCTTGTCGCGCACGGGTCTCACAACAAGCTCTTTAAGCCGTCCGATCGGCATCACGCTGACGTTTAGGTGGTTCCGCACCGCTCCGACACAATTTTTCCTGCACAGCACCGCCCCCCCGTAAACAGTATCAGAAATCCCCTTCCCCCACTTCCCCTTTTCCCCGCGTGTCTTCCCAACCCTTTTTCCACTATGCCCTCTCCACCATTCATCCCGCTCCTACCCCCCACCCCCCCCACCCCCCCACCCCGCACTTTCGAGGTCATCATCAACTGTCGCCCTGCCGCATTTGTTTCACCCTACATCTCCGTCACCGCGGAAAGGACATCCGCTCCAAGCGGCAGCTGCGTGATAGTGCGCCGCAGCCTAGGGAGTAGATGGCAAGCGCTGCATTCCCTAGACTAGAGTCTTGATGTCATCAGCTTTGTCAACATCGAGGTAAATGCAAGGGAGTTAGCAATTACCTAGACCAGAGTTAGCAAATGCCGAGGACCAAGCCCAGTTACCGAATGCCTAGAACCGAAAGTTAGCAAATGCCGAGGTCGTTGTCAACACAGTCTGTAAATCAAGTCGCAGCCACTGCTTTCCACCTCATTCACTTCTGTAGTGTTTTTTGCTTGATTCGGGAACGCGAGCAGCACGGAAGTCTCGCATTTCTCACCTAAATCACCAACTCTCACACAGTTTACAAACGACAGTCTTGCGTTCTTGCGCTCTCACTTGCTTTCTCGCGTCTAGCCAAGAAAATGGCGGCAGCAGATGCGAGTGACCCCTACTTCTCACTAAGTGCAGCCCTGCGGCAATGCACATTCACGGTCGACGTCGCTCCGGAAGCAGGGAGTCCGCCCTTTGTCGCGTCGCTTTCCAGCTCCGCGCAGCCGATATCCTCGCTCGCCTTCCACGGTGTCTCATATACGGTTCAACGCAAGAAGCTCCTGCAGCCGAAGTCGCAGCGCGTAACGAAGCAGCTTCTATGTGACGTCTCCGCGTACGCGAAGGCTGGCGAAGTCACCGCGATAATGGGAGCGAGCGGCTCGGGGAAAACTACGCTCCTTGACGTCCTCTCGGACCGCATCTCTTCGCGCAACCTCACTGGGGAAATCTCCTTGAACGGCGCTCCGGTGAAAGGCGACACGATCCGACGGCTGTCAGCGTACGTGATGCAAGACGACCTGATGTTTCCCGCGCTGACGGTCCGCGAGACGCTCATGTACGCCGCGGAGTTGCGGCTCCCACCGACGGTTAGCCACGCGGAGAAGGCGGAGAAGGTGCGCCGCCTCATCCGTCTGCTGGGCCTTACCAAAGTGGAAAACTCCAAAATCGGCGATGAAAATAGCCGCGGAATCTCCGGCGGCGAGAGGAAGCGCGTCGCGATTGGCGTGGAAATGATCGGCGATTCGAAAATTTTGTTTCTGGATGAACCCACGTCGGGGCTGGACTCTACTAGCGCGTTCCGAGTCGTAAAGGTGATAAAGAGAATCGCGGTGCGGACGGGGAGTATCGTGGTGATGGTTTTGCACCAGCCGAGCTTTCGCCTTCTGAGCCTTTTGGATCGGCTGCTGCTGCTCGGCGCCGGACGGATGTTGTTTTTCGGGCAGCCTGCGCAGCTGCCCGAGTTTCTGTCCGCGTTCGGCTGCCCGCCGCCGCCGTTCGCGAACCCGACAGAATTCGCACTGGATGTGATCCAACGGCTGGGACACGAGACGGAAGGTGGCGCAAAGCGCGGGGAAGACGTGGACGATGAGGATGACGAGGAGGAGGAATATGACGTAGATGGTACCGAGATTATAAAGTGCCACGTGGCGGGGGAAGCTGCTGCGAATAAGACAAATGCATCTGAACATTTGGCCAGGCAACCGTCCGGCGGATGCTGCGACGTGGAGACGGAGACGGAGACGGAGGCCGAGACGAAGACGGAAAACCTGACGGACAAGAGAGACGGAATTCAACGGCTGGCCGACTTCTTTACCGTCTGGTCACAAGGAGGCTCCAGTGGTATTGGCGACTCGTCCCGCGGAAGTAGCGAGGGCGGCGAGAGCTTTTCCATTCCTCCGAGTAGCCCCTCCACGTGCTTCAGCCCGGATCAGGCTGCAGTGGCGGCAGCGACTGCCGCGGCTGTAGCTGCTAGAACTGCGGCTGCAGCGGCCGCGGCGGCGGCTGCAGCGGCCGCGGCGAACGGGAATGAAACGGTCACTATCCCTACAGGCGCCTCATCAGGTGTTACTTCAGGTGCTTCGCCGGATGCTCGAGTGGCGGAAACTGACAGCGGCGGCGGCGGCGGTGCTAGCGCGCAGATCGGGTTCCTCGGGGAGCGCCAAAGCGCGGGTGCGGCGCAGCTACAGCCTCTCGGGGAGCGCAATTGCGCGGGGGCGGGCGCGCAGTCAGAGCACCGCAGCGAGCGCAAGTACGCGAACGGGTGGTGGCGCGAGCTGCGCGTGCTGATGAGCCGGTCCGTGCGCGTCATCGCGCGCACCCCCGCGCTGTATCTGCTGCGCCTGCTGCTCATCATGGTCACGGGGCTGCTCATCGCGTCGCTCTTCTGGCGCCCGCCCTTCAAGTGAGTCTCACGTGAATTGAAGTATTTGGTCGACCTTGGGAGCTTATTGGCCTTCTGATGCCTATCACGCTTGTTTGATGTACGCTTGTAGTCTCTCTCTCTGCTGGTTATTACCACTCTTCGCAGCCTGTTTCCCTTCCTCGTATCAACACCCACTCTCTTTCTCCCTTCCCTCGTCCTCATGCTCCCTTTTCCTTCCCTCCCTTCCCTGTCCTCACTCCCCACCCCCTGTCTCCTCTCTTTTTCCCACCCCTCTCCTAACCGTTCCCTTGACAAATTTCAGCGCGGAGGGGCTGCACGAGCGGCTGGCGTTCATCTCGTTCCTCGTGTGCACGCTCTTCTTCTCCTCCGCCGACGCCACTCCCTTATTCATCCAGGTGAGCACACATGCTCTGTCTCAGCCGTTTTGAAGTCGGCTCAGAATCGTTCATCTCGTTCCTCGTGTGCACGCTCTTCTTCTCCTCCGCTGACGCCACGCCCCTCTTCATCCAGGTGAGCACACATGCTCCGTCGTCTCAGCCCGTCTGTACGATGTGCAATTACTTTACGTCCAGGTGAAAGGATACGCCACCCTGTCACTCGCCCTGATACGCCACTCTTAGAAATTCCTTGGTCGGAAGGCGACGGCGGGTGGAGGGCACATCTATGCACTCCCTTTGTCTTTCGTGCGGATAATCACTCGATCCTTCCCATCTCACCCCGTTATCCCGCATTCCCCACTCTGCAACCACACTCAACCCCCCTGCCGTCCTCAGGAGCGCAACATTTTCATCCGGGAAACGTCGCAGCATGCCTACCGGCCGTCCACTTACATGGTGGCATCGACCCTCGTGTACCTGCCTCTGCACGTGCTCATGGCCCTTGCCATCACTGCCGAGTCCTGGTGGTGTGTCAACCTGTCTGGCGGGGGAACCTCGTTTGCCTTCGTGGTGCTCGTCTGCTTCTGCTGCCTGTTCACGGGGAATGCCTATGCCACGTTCGTCAGTGCTGCTGTCAACAAGTGAGTGTTGCGAAGTTTTACAGAAGTGGTACCAAGAAGTGTGTGTGTGTGTGTGGCTCCGTGGTGCTTGTATGCTTCTGCTGCCTCTTCACTGGGAATGCCTATGCTACGTTCGTCAGTGCTGCTGTCAACAAGTGAGTGCTGCGAAGCATTGCAATGCGAAGCGTGTGCGTCTCCCTATGCGTTCGTTTTTCTCATCTGCTTTTACTGCCACCTTTCTCAGTGCTGCTGTGAGCAACAGAGTGTCCAGTGAGGGTATGTTGTCCCACCACCGTCCACCCGTCGTGTCCCACTGATGGCCACAGCGAACAAATGAGTGCAAGACACGTTGCAGCGACAACGCTGTCAGAAGGATTGTGAGCAAGTGAACGGATCTACACGCATCCACCCATTATGGTCGTTCCCGCCTCAAGCAACTTTGCTCCACTTCCATCCAGCCTCACGCCTTAAAACGGTGTCATCCGCTTCTACGCCATAGCCATCCCCACCATCATTGGCCATTCGCTCTTGTCTTAGCAAACCTATCAACCCCTTTCTTCTCTCTCAATCCCATCCCCTCGTTTCCTGCACTCCCTTTCTCCTCCTCACAGTGTCATCCTCACCGACGCCATTGACATCTCCACCATGCCAAGTTCGCCCTTGTCCAAACAAAATCAACAACCCCCTCATTTCTCCTCCCCCTACCCCCCACCCCCACCCCCTACCCTCCCCCGACCCACTCCCTCCCCCTCTTCCAGTGTCATCCTTAACTCAACGACCCTCTCCTTTCCTCTCTCCCTCCCCTCCCCTCCCCCTCTGCCAGTGTCATCCTCGCCTACGCCATAGTCATCTCCACCATGGCCAACTTCGCCCTCGTTTGCGGCTTTTACATCCAGCGGCAGAGCATCCCACCGTTCTGGATCTGGCTGCACTACCTCTCCCCAGTCAAGTACGCCTATGAAGCCGTCACGCTCAACGAGTTCGCCGCAGCCGGACCCTCCACCTGCTACCAGCCTGCAGGAGATCTCTTCGCCGCCACGCCTCTCTCGGTGCTCCTCTCGCCTGCTCAGGTGAATCAGTCGCTAGCTGTGCTTCGCCCTGGGCTTGCTCGGACGCCGTTTGCGGATCTGTCGGTGGGGACGTGCTTGCAGACGGGGCCGCAGCTGCTGGTGTATTCCCTGGGGCTGACGCAGATGAGCAAGTGGGAGTGTGTGGCGGTGCTGGTGGGGATGGGGTGTGTGCTGCGGTTGCTGCACTGGCTGCTGCTGGTCAGGCTGTCTCGCACCAAGAGGGGGTGAGTGAGATAAGGCTGTAACTGGCGCTGAAAGGAGATGGTGAAAGTTTATTCTGTTTGAACTGGCGGGGACTGTGGCACTTGAGTGCGATTCACCCTAATCACACTGTGGAGGGGGGGGGGAGGCATTGGAGGGGTGCTTTGTGGGCGGTCTGGGTACTTCATGTGATGCCTTGAAGAGGAGATTTGGGGAGGGATCCCTCAAGCCGAGGTGCATCACACTAGATGATGGAGGTTTTGGCAGTATCCTACGATCACATACGGGTGCAAGCAGTAAGGCGTTGCCATGGAGGCCAGGTGAAAGATTCTGGGGAATAAGTAGCGTTGATTGGAACATAGATGTGGGACAACCCTCAGGCTTTAGTTGTGCTGCTGTTTTCTAGGATTCTTAAGACCACCAGGAGGCCTCCCTAAAAGCTCCTAGCTTGACTGAAGAGCTAGGTGCTTTTTGTGATGCCCCCATGGTGTGACCCTTGTTTGTGTATCCCGTGTGTACCAGCTATTGTTCTTAGCATGAGTGCATGTGTTCTATATTTACATTAACTACAGCGCCATAGTGCATGTTTTCAGTGCACCTTTCATCATAGGAGTTCGTTTCATTGGAAATTGACCATGCCAGCAATGTATGTCAGAAAGTGCTTCGCAATTGAAGACTTTTGGATGAACTCGGTCATTTTTAGTGGTGCACCCCAGCCACTAGGCGAAACAACCTGTCATTTCGGTCAGACACTACACCTGGGCCGACCTTTGTGATTGGCGGAATCGGCGTAGCCATGTCGGGTCGGGTTGCGTAGGTGACCCACAACCAGCGACTGATGGTGGTGCGTGGTTCAAGACCATACAGCTGTACAGTACTGTTCTTGGTTGCTAGGTCATAGTGGTGGTGTATTCTGCCCAATTCAACGTAGGCTTTGCTGGCGTGCAAATTATTCTTCGAGTTTCCCTAGCTCTAGCTCTAACCTCAGTCACTATAATCTCCTTCTGTCCGTAAGAGCCTACTGCGATTGCCCTTCCACGCGGAAAACCAGTCAGTGCCACCGCGTTTTCCTGGCTGCCATATCGTATCCACAAAATCCAGCTCCCCCAAACCAATTTCCCAAGAAAGTGTCGAGCTCGACCAGCCAGCAACAACCCTTCCCCCTTTTCCAACGATTCGTCCAACCATGTACATGTAGTTGATCAAAGTGGTTCGGCGAAAGGCGCGTTTTACAAACCACCGAAACATCAAACCCAGGCCTTTCAACGTGCGCGACTAGACACTCGCTGCAGTGAACCAAAGCATGGTGGCGTCAAGGTCCAAGGACCACCGCTTGCGCAGCGCCTCGATGTGGCGTTGTTGGGAGGGGATGGATGGGGCGGGGGGGGGGGGGGGGTTGGGTGGGTTTGGGTTGGGGGTTGGGGGTGGGGGAAAATTGCGGGGGAAGAGATAGTAGTCACTGTTGTCGGATGGAATATCTTGCGGTCTTGGAGGGAGGTTCGGGGCGACGGGGGGAAGATATGCAACAGGCTTGGGAAGAGATTTCGGCGACAACGCGCATCCAGCAAGGCAAATTTCAACAACCTCGCCCCTCTTGTTCCTCGCTCCCCTCCCCTCTCTCCCCTCCCACCTTCTTCTCACACACGAGTGGAAAAACTCCGACTTCCGCACTGTTGTCATCACGCGGCACGATGCACAAATGTACCATCCTGCTGGTATAACTTGTGCTAGGAGCTGAGCGTTTTCCTGCCATTTCAAGCGAGAATCGCAGCTGCACCGCCCACGTTTGCCAGCGCATCAGCTGCTGCAGCCCAAGCATCCTCAAAGCACGCAGCTTGGAGGAGCGACCGCTTGGAAGGCGACTAAGAGGCTTGAGACGGCTGCATTGTGTGAGCTGCGAATCATCGTCTGCACTCTTATTGCATTCGCTTTTCTTACGGAGTAACTTGAACGATCCACAACCAGGAACCATTCCTTCTCGGCATTAACCTTTCCATAACGTCTTAAGATCCGCGACATAACGTCAACTCAACGACCCCTTACTCGTCGACCGAACGCGCCATTTCCCCAGACACGCGGAATGGACACAGAAAGCGCCTCTCCGAGAGCTGCGCCTCCTCCACATTCCGCCCCTCTCCTCCCCGACTCTCCCATCAACGACGCCGCTTCTCCCGCCGCCGACACCGCCGTCGCCATCTCTTACCAAATGCGCTACTCCGAAGAGTCCTCTCCGGATCGCGTGTCCGCCTCGGGTTCTTCCTCGTCGTCCTGCACGTCATCAATCGAATCAGAATCCGATCAAGTTGAGATCGACTGCGGCTCGTTAGACGAATCCGAAGAAGGGGTGCTCAAGAAACCACTCTACGCTAGGTCCATGGAGCTCAGCTTTCGCCACGTGTCTTACACCGTCTCTACGCGCAGCAAGCGCGGGAGCGACGCCGGAGCCGCCGGCGCTGGCGGGAGTGTTGCCGCCAGCAGCCGAAGCGTTTCCCAAAGCGGAAGCGGCGGGAGATGCGGGAGCAGCGGGAGTAGCATTAGCCCAGCGAGCAGCAAAATGAGCTCCGTTTCTCGGCAGCTGGCGATGAAGAAGCATTACAGCCGTACGATTCTTGCAGATATCAACGGCGCTGCGAGATCCGGCGAGGTCACGGCCATCATGGGCGCGAGCGGCTCGGGCAAGACGACGCTCCTGAACATCCTCGCGCACCGCATTGCGAAGGAGCGGCGGTCGGGCTCGGTGGAGCTGGACGGCGCCGTGGTTCGCGGGAGTACAATGCGGCGCATGTCGGCGTACGTGATGCAGGACGACCTCATGTTCCCTGCGCTGACCGTGCGCGAGACGCTCATGTTCGCCGCCGAGTTGCGTCTCGCGGCGCGCGGAGTGACGAAGGAGGAGAAGGAGCGGAAGGTCGAGAGCCTATTGGAGCTGCTGGGTCTCACCAAGGTGGCCGATTCGCTCATCGGGAATGAAAGCCAACGGTAAGACCGGAATAACACGCCTCCTCACTTGTGTGTTTCTCATCCCCCCCTTCTCGGCGCATCTTGGTATCTTCCGGTGTATTTCGGTAACTCTCGTTTCGCCTTTGGCCTGTAACGTGCTCATTCTGCGTGTCACCGCCATTTTCCCTCTCCTATTTATCCTCGCTCATCGCATTTCCCACTCACGTCTCTCCCTCGGCTTTCTCCTCCGCAGCGGCGTGTCCGGCGGCGAGCGCAAGCGCGTGGCGATCGGAGTGGAGATGGTGAGCGATCCGCGGATCCTCTTTCTCGACGAGCCCACGTCCGGTCTAGACTCCACCAGCGCGTACCGCGTCGTGCGGGCGATTAAAGACATCGCCGTGCAGACCGGCAGCATCGCCATAATGGTTTTGCACCAGCCTAGTTTCCGGGTGCTGTCTTTAATCGACCGTCTGCTGCTCCTCGCGTCGGGCCATACTATTTTCCACGGGCCGCCTCCCCAGCTTCCCACGTTCCTCGCGTCGTTCGGCTGTCCCGTGCCGCAGTTCGCTAATAGCACCGAATTCGCCCTAGATCTTATCGAGGATTATCAGCGGTCGGAGCGTGGGGTTGCTGATCTTGTCGCATACGCGTCGTCATACCAGCAGTTGTCGCACATGTCGCAGGATTCCCTTCAGTCAGCGCTCACAAAAACGAGCGTCGCAGAGAATGTCGCCACTCCCGAATCGACTTCTTGCCGCTCTGGTAACACCGACGGCACGGTCGCCGTGCAGATCGACGGCTGCGCAGATCCCGCCGTCGATGCCGCCGTGGTTGCCGCCGCATCCGCCGCCGCGATCACCGCGCAGAAGTCCATAGTCGGGGAGAAAGCTGATGACAAGGGCGCAATGGTGGACACTCGGCGGTACGCCAATGGGTGGATGGGCGAACTGATGGTTCTGACGAAACGAGCGGCTTTGAACCTATGGCGCACTCCGGCTCTCTATCTTCTGCGCCTCGCGCTGGTGGCCGTGACGGGCGTCATGCTCGCGACGCTCTATTTCAACCCAGACGAGAGGTAAGCCGACAATTTGAGCACTCGCGTTACTTTCCTCGTCGACATGCGGTTTGCGGAAATTCACACCCCCCTCCCCTCCCGGCCCCCCACCCCCCTATTTCCACGTGCCTGCTTTCCATTAGTGTATGCTCGATTGGCGCTTTTTTTCGTGTAAGACCACCTTCTCAATCGGCATCATGTGATTGGCGAGAGAGTCGAGCGGGGCTGGAAAACATGTTTCGTAAAAGTTCGCTCAAAATGTTTCAGCCGTTATCACTACCCGGTCTTTAGATGTTTTTTTCCTTTCGTTTTCTGTGGAAACGCGTTTTTTCGCTCCCTTCATTTATGTGTCCTACTCGTTCCTCATCCATCCTCCTCTCCCGTTTTCCCCATTTTCCAGCTTGTCGGGTTTCCAGGAGCGACTGGCGTTCTTCTCCTTCTCCATCTGCGTGCTCTTCTTCTGCTGCCTGGACGCCGTGCCCATCTTCATCGAGGAGCGGAACATCTTCATCCGCGAAACCACGCGCAATGCATACCGTCCGTCCACGTACCTCGTCGCGACCACGCTCGTGTACCTGCCGCTGCAGCTCGCCATGGCCTCGATCTTCGTGCTCGAGAACTGGTGGGCGATCAACCTCACTGGCGGCGCGGCGGGGTTCTTCTTCATGCTGCTGACGTGCTTCCTTATCCTCTTCTCCGCCAGCTCATTCGCCATCGCCATCAGCGTCGTCGTGGACCAGTAAGCTCGCTTCTCTCGTCTCCTTATCCATTTCCCTCTCATCTTTCCGCCATCAGTTCCCATCGACCGCTATCGCATCTACAATAATCTATCTGCTGCTATCGCCGCATTTAAGTCCCTTCGTGATTCGTCCCCGTGTACTTTCTAACCCTTTCCCTGCTCTCCTCGTCTCCCCCGTCCCTTCCCTAAACAGCGTTGTGCTCGCGTATGCCGCTGGAATCGCGCTTATGGCCTACTTCGCCCTCGTTAGTGGCTTCTACATTCCCAAATACAGCATCCCCAACTACTGGATCT